TACTATCAAGCACCTTCGTCTTGTAGAGGGGTCCCAAACGGTGTATTAGATATATATGTACGTATATAAGTATACATATGTATGTGTGTGCATATATACAAAAAATGTATATATGGTCACCCCCCCCCAGACCCACCTTTCTACGTTTTGCACAAAAGAGATTTGTTGGCAGATCTTAAGTGTCCACTTGGTTTGCAGATGCCTTGCAGGAAGCACCGTAATTTACAGTGTGTTTTTGAGATTTTGTATATTGTGCCAGATGTTATTTGCGTCCTTGATGCAAAACAAGACTCAAGAAAGCTATCAACACGAAAACGGAAAGCGTTTTCAGATGCAACTGTGTCAGTGCTGAAAACACTGCTATTTGCAGTGTGGTTTAAGGGAAACTGCAAAAACACATTGTGCTTTGTTGTTGTTGATGATTGCATCCTCAAAACATGCACAGGCTCAAGAATGCAAAAGAAATGCACAACCCAGACGCAATGTCAGAGGTCCGGGCTTGATTGGTCTAGATTTTTGCGTGGTGTTCATGTTTTTAGGCCTGTGCAGGTTTCAGAGCTTTCAGCTGTGGACCTGTGCAGGTTTGGGAGCTTGGGGTTCTTAAAACATGGACCGGCTGAAAATGCAAAACAACTCCAAAGCCTTTACTTGTTTCTGAAGACTGGGAGACAGATTACGAATTTCACAGAAGGCGCGCGCCGCAAAACTTTCCGCATATCGACTCAATATCAAAACAACATATATATATATATATATGCTCACCCGCCACCTTTGAAATTATCAGTGTTTACAGACTGCACAAGTGAAAAGGTGGGCCCTGGGGGGGGGGGGGGGGCATGTTACGTGTGCGTTTGTGCATGCGCAAGTGTGCGTTGGCAAATGTCTTCCTTCATTGGTCAATCAATCAAATGATAGAGATGCAAAAGGGCAAAAGGGCAAACGGGATGGCCAAGTCTGGCAATGCCTGAGCCATCGAACCCTTGCCAGTAAATAGTTCACAGTTGTTGTAAATAACTCGGTTTCTATCTGACAGTCTCAGATGGGGTTTGTATAGAATGCATGAAAAAAGCACATAGATGTACTATGTGCTAGTATAGATATATATATATATGTGCAGGACAAAGCGTTTGGGACGAAGTGGTAAGACGTCGCAAGACAAAGCGTTTGGGACGAAGTGGTAAGACGTTGCAACTGGTGAGGTCTCTTTTTTCTGGTGCTTCACTTTGGATGTCTGCTTCTCTGCAGCGGAGTCGCATTGTGTGCAGGCTCTCAAAGTCGACTGCCTGGCTGCGATACGTTTTGATCGGATCGCCGCGGTCGACGTCAGGTTGTAAGACTCGGTGGGTGGAAGAACTCAGCCGAAAGTGTCCACAACCCCAACAAAGCCTTCAGCAAGGCAACCTGCAAGCTGCTTCAGGCGATGCGTAGGCAACAAGTCAAATGCTCTCTCAAACATGATCAGCACAATCTTGACCCCAGAGTCACTCATCAAGCCGGCACTCCCAAGTTGAAAGATGCCTTGAATCGATTCACCATGCATGTTCATCATCTAATGGCCAGGTTTGTCTTTTAGCAAGCGTGCCATGGATCAAACTTCCCACGCGTGGCCAATCCTGATGTCCTCGAAATATTTCAGCATCCCGAGCAAATTTCCGAATGACCGCAGTCATTGCCTTCACAAAGGTCGTCATACTGTGGATGGACGAAATCCTGCACCACCTAAGAAACCCTGATTATTCCCTCGTAAATACCAAGCAAACAATGGTTTCAACCATGGTTTCTTAGGTGGTGCAGGATTTCGTCCATCCACAGTAGCATTTCGTCGAAAAACCGTCCTCATGGCACGGTCCGCAACCCTTGTGGAACATGATGAACCTGATAAACCACAACCCATGGCACATTACCCCCTATGTGGGAAAGAACGAGTTTCTCATGAAGTCTTTGGCCCCCAAATGAAGCCCCCCAGATGCTAAGAGCTCTGTGTACTCAAAATGACATTTTGGGGAAGATATTCCAGAGGGCTCGGGCAGGTCAAACAAGCTCTGAGCGGTTATTGTGCTCACTCTTCGGTTCAGGATCTGTCCATCGGACCGGTTCGCCCATCAAGCAATCCTGCTACCCATCCCTGATCCGGTCCAACCAACAACCATCCATGCACTTACAGTACCGCCATCGTGTCTGCGGACTGTTCATCGGCAATCCGTGCTTCCCCTGTTACATCCTGCTTTGGCAAGCAATCTTGGGGAAGCGTTCAGGCATTGTTGTTGCAATCAGGATTGTTTGGGGGAGCACTTGGGAGCACGTTCTCATGTGTTTGTGGTTCTGTGTCGGCATGTTTGTTAATCCAGATCACTTCAGGACAAAGACTTTGTGAATTGCGGTCACCCCATCATCCCGACTGTATTGACCACAGCACATCTGAATCTGTCTCCTAATCGGGCACCGGCAACCCTAAAAAGCGCGTGGGGTTCCTTTGACAACTCTGCAAACCAAAGGCGCAACCCAAAAAGAGAGCCTTTGCAGAGGAGCTTTGTGTGACCCCCTTCGTGGTTTCTTCTGATTGAGCACATCTGCTTTAGGGTCGGTTTCAAACAGAACCCACAAAAAGCAAGCCATTTGGGAACTCCTCCCACCCCGCCCCCCCTCAAACACCAGAAACAAAACGCAGCGCCTGCGGGTGTGCCGTCTCAGGGGCGACATCCTGCGGGACCTTCTTCTTCCGCACCTGGGCAACTCACAGTGCTTCCTTTGCCCAATGGCCAGGAGGCAAGACTAGCATCTATCCGTCCACTTTGGGATTCCTGGCGCGGATTTGTTGCCAAAAAGGAACATGGCTAGTTGTTGCACTCTGTTGGTGTCTACGAAGATGTGGCACAGGCATCCACTTGACCAGCCACGTCTCAAATGAATCCTGTGAAGGACCTTCATGGGTAAACTTGCACCCTAGTCAGAACTGAATGAAAAGTTAGCGCTCCCAACATGTCCAACAAATGAACACTTACAGTACCTCAAATCCGACAGAAAGGCGACACGTAAACCTACCCAAAATGGTAAGCAAAGGCAAATTATCAGGTTCCAAGGTGGGGTAATGCTGACACACGGTCGGTCCCTAGGACCCTGTTCATAACGAAGGGTCTTGTTGTTGGGGAGTCCCTTGCTTCGTGAGAAATTCACTGGGCGAGGTTTCGAACGGTTGATGGTCCGGTGCTGTCTTGAGGGCACACATCTTTCGGTAAAACGGCACCAGAAAGCCCGCCAGTTGGACCAAGCTCAGCATGGTTGTTGAACACTTGTACTTGCTTGTGTCCTAGAAATTTGAAAAGAGCTCCACCCATCAAGTTCGGGCGAGTCTTTAGAGCAAAACCCAGAAGGACACCAGCCATGTTTGTTAGGTCCAACCGAAACTGAATCCGGCGACAACTTAATTTGCTTTTCCCTGATCACAACCCGAAGCAAGCTATACGCGTGCCTGTAGTCAACTCAGCTGAGGAGCGTTCTTGGTCGCCATTAAAGCTCGACTTCTGCTATTATTAGTGTTCGCAATTGACTCAGCGCTGGATCCCTCCAACCATCCAACAGATCTGTGCGCTTGGAACTCCCACTTGCCTCGAACTGGTGGGTAAAGTGGCCAGTTCACCCCCCATAGCCAGACTGCCAGACTTGAGTTCCAACCGTTTCCAAGGCTCCCACCATTGGTTGCCGGTTCCGAAGTCAAAATATCCTTGGGATCCCAGCTTCCCCAAAATCAAGCACGCCCCAAAACATTCTCCGAAAAACAAGACAAATGTCCACTTGATCAATCCGAAGCTCCCTGTTTCTTCAAAACAATGCCAGACTTGGGTTTAAAAGTACCCCACAAAAGCCTTTCCCTCCCTGGCCGCCCCCCCCCCTCCTGTCCCCATCCCCTCACAGGCACCTTGGTTCGCCTCTTCTTTGGCTCCTGCGCCTCATGCCTTTGCAGCGATTCGCTCGGCACCGCGCCTGGCACGCGGAGAATGGTTTGGGCGACCCGTTTCGCAGGGCAAACGCATCGCAACCCGGTTCGAACCGCGGACTGGGTGAGAGAAGTACTCCCTGTTTCCGGAAAACACGTGTTATCTGTCGAACTTGGAAAATGTTGCTTTTTCTCTGGAAGGGAACCGCCCCATGTTCGTGGGGTTGCACCTCAAAAACGCGTGCAAGGTTTTGTGGGGCGCATCACTGGCCTGTTTGGTTGCCCCCGCCTTCGGCATCCACCGGCTCCGCGTCCATGGCAGCGCTCAACATGCTGCAAAGGGCGCGGGGCGAGGACGAAAAAAAAAGGAAGGCCGGGCTGGAGGGGCGACGCGAACCAAGAGACTTGCATCGAAAATAGACGTCCAGAGTTGCTCGCTCAGGACTTGATCGTTGGCTGGAGCATGGAATGGAAGGCATGGGTGGCGTCTGCTGCCTACTAACTATGGAGCCGAAGTCATGGCAATTGGCGTCGGGCTTGCAAAAGTGGGCAGCCTATGGTCGGTTTGGCCGCCAGCAGCAATCTGCCCGTACACTGACAGCTGAATGGTTGGGGATGTCCGGCGAAAACCGTCAGACAAGAGCATGTCGGGCTTTCAGAACTATAGTGTTTTGTTGTAACAAAATACCCTTTGACTGATTGTTGCCAGGGTGAAGACATTATTTGGGTGTGCCTTTGTTTCAGGGAACGCCCCACAAACATGAGTTGCCAATCCAACATCCACCACCAAAGATGGCGCAACCTCACTGCCTGAGTTCCAACTTCGGTGAGTACAGGGCTTTGGAACATGTCAGGTTGTCAATCCAATTCATGGACCTCTCGACCCTCTGGACCCTTCTTTGGACCTGGTGTGGATCCTTGTAAAGACCAAACTTCATGACGCCGTTGCCTCCAGGGTAGATACCTGGAGCCGAACACATCCCCTTTTCAGGGACGAGCCAAAACCGGCACTTCGCCCCTCCCCCCCCCCCCCCCCGTGGACCCCCCCGGGACCCCCCCCGGACTCCTGATGCAACGCCAAGCGCCTTCGCAAGAGCTCAATGGCCTCGCGGAGAAGCCAGCCGAACCGCACAGATTTGAGGCAAGACTTGGAGTCCTCTTTGTCAAAGTTGCCTCGCTCCCGTGTACTCCCCTATAATTTCACGTAGAGAACCCAAAAAGGGGGGTCCTCCCCCAAAAACCAAATCCTCCAAAAATGGTGGGTTTTTCTTGTGTTTCCATGTTAAGCTGCAGGGGGAAGAACAAGAAAACATGCACAAGACCCGGCTATGTCGTGCAAAGCTCGCGCCTTCTCTGGCGCCTCCGCAGCCGCGGCGTCGCACAGGGCATCCAGGATCCAGTGCCTACGTCCGGTCTCCGGCCGTTAGACGGAACATCCGAAAAACATGGCCATGGGTCAAAATCCAAATCATACTCCCAGTGAACATCCCAATCCCCAGAAAAATAGACTACAATTGGTACCATTGGTTTTGACCAACAGCCACATGTTAAATACAGCGGCTCCGAACCACTCCGAAGGCTATCTCAACTCCTTTGGGAGAGTTTTCAGGACCCCAAGCCCCTCCAAGACAAGCTGTCTTTTGGGGACTTTCAACTTTGGCGAATTCACGTGTTCGCTCCAACTAACGAACCTTCATCACAGTAAGCTCGTATCACGGCAGGTCGACGAAGGCAGCCAAACAGTCAACTGAAGGAAGAGCGTGATTCTAGGCTCCTTGGCAAGAGCAGGATGCCATGCAATTCTCTGTGTTGTTCCTCTAGATGTTCTTCCCGAAAAGGGAAATAACTTATAACTTGCGCTATCCTGGTGCACCCAAAGCGGGAATATGGCATCTCTGAAAGAGCAGAACACACACACACACACACGTCAGCTGCACCTCTGTTCATATGTGAGAACGCTTGTCCCTGAATACTGCTGGGTCAGCCCTTTGCAGCTTCGCAGCCAACATAGAAACAGTGGCCAAAAGCAAAGTAAAAGGAAAAAAGAACCAAAACAACCCAAAGTCACGCCGTCGCCAGTCCCCCCCCCACCCCCTCCCCGCCTGTCTGCGAGGCCCGCATTCTCCGCCTCCACCAGCAACGACGTGGCGGTTCGGTCCTCCCAGACTCGGTCGGTGGAAAATCGAAAGGAGAAAGCCCATTCAAAATTGAAAAGCCCCGAGCAAAATGGGGAGGGAACAAAAATGTGGAACATAGTAACCCCAGAAAACATGGGAAGCACAGGGTTCTCATTTGTTCAAGTGCCCGGAAGAAAGGTAGACAAGTCTAAGCTTGGGCTCCGTCTGGTTACCCTCAAAAAGCGGGGTTTGGTTCGAGTAGTGCAGTATGGGACCCCTGGGCTTGAGTCAATAAAAAATGAAGCCCCGAGAGAGGAATCTCAAGACCTCCCCTCACAACAACAGAAAGGACACTTAGATCGAGCTCGCGTGCGATTTCTCCCCATGAAAAGTAGCATAGAACCCCACCCCCTACCCAGAGGAAAACATACCGGGCTCATGCGGTCGAATCGTCCGCACGCGTGCCTTGGTGCGAAGAAAAGCCTTACCTCAAGCGTCACATGGTGCCGAATCATAGGGCAAAGCACAGCCAAACGGCAAACGGCACCCAATCCGTTGCCAGCAGATCACATACCCAAGGATTGCTCTATGCCAGGTCTTGTGATCGTGGGGAGTTGCTGCGTTGGTCCCTACAAGATTCTGAAACCTTTCTTTACTGGGGATCTTATTTCGAAGACATCAGCATGAATCTTACTTGGGCAACCTTTGGTGGACATCATCGACGTTGAGATCTGCGTCCAAACATTTTTCATTTTGAGGGTGTTCCAGTCATTAACAATCACAGCCACATAGCCATCTCTTTTCACACTTGCATGGACACGTCCCGTTTGATCGGTTGCCCCCTGTTTTGCGGTGAAATAGACAACACCCGCTCATTTGCTCATCCCCAAAAACCAGCCAGTTGGTCAGTTCTCAAAGAATAACGGAAGTGCAACCCCCCCCCTGTCCGAGATCCGGCCTTCCCAAAATCATCCTCCTCCTCCTCATCGCGAACCTGGACGCTTCATACTTCAAACAACCGGCGGAAGGGCAAAATGCGCCAAGAAAGAACGGACCCTTGGTAGCTCATGTCCCACATTGGCTCATACTCCCTTCGCAAATCAACATAAAGCCCCAAAGGCCAAGACTCTTCCGCTCGCGGATGCTACAGCGATTTTGGAATCGGCCCACGGACTTGAGGCCGGCTTCTTCCAAGTTTGCTTTCTTGTGCTTATGAGGTTTGCTGCTGATTATCAGAATTGAATTTAGTCGTAGCCTTGCTCTGCCTGTGGCCATTAAGAGGCACAAAGCGGACAGATGTTTAACATCCTCCGTTCAACACTTTCCCGGTTGAATTTCAGTTTGCGCCGCCCCCGCAAAGAATGAGTCGTGTTACAAGAATCGATTCCGAAACTGGAAATAAGGGTTTCCCCTCGCGCTCCTCGGTACAGGACCTTCACTGAGCTAGTACCTCAGGTGAGCTCCTAATTTGGATTCAGCCCATCTGACTTTCCCTCACCCAACCAATCGCGCCTTCGCCAGCGTGCAGAACTCCGGGCGCGACCTGGCAGGAGCCAAAGTGGAAGGTGCACGGATCAGTCTGTGGGAATTTTGCATGAGAAAAAGCTGGGCGCCCGATTTTGATCCCGGAAATTCTGCCGGAAAATTCCGGCTATGTACCCTGTAATGTTGACCGCATAAATCAACCCCAGTTTATCAAAAAGGGGGTGTGCCTGCGTTAAGTGGGGTAATCATGATGAATATGGGGCCAACATTACCAATCGTGTAGTGGGCTTCTGTGTGTGTTTTTCCCGCAGGGACGCCTCAGGGTAGGTTGAGTGACAAACGAAAGGGGACGTGGTCCCAAATAGGGGAAACCCCTCAAGACCTACTTCTCACAAATGACCCGCCCGTGCTGATCTCAATGCCAACATTTTTCTCAGTGATTCACAAGCGTAGGCCAGCATTGCCAGTTGCGCAACCCGTGTAAGTTCCAACAAACGTAGAGACTTCCGCTGAGAGGTATCCAACGCCGCCAAGTACTCAGGGTTCAGTCCTCCCAGCTTGCCAAGGAAACACGCAGAGTCACCATGCAATGCAGGTGCCAATGACTCAGCCCCCTATCCACAAAAAGAAACCTGTAAACTGCAAGCAACCATTCGGGTGGCAAACGTTGTTTTCCGTCTGCAGAGCGGACACAGTTTGATCCTGTGTTCCCTGATGTCTTTCTGCAAACGCTCGCCGACTCATCCTTCAGGTTGAGTTGGCTCGAATGGGATGTTTTGCCAACAGTCATGCACAAATCTGAAAAGAGGCCTCATGCAAAACAACACCAAGGTTGCAAGGCCTGCCAAGTCGAGCACCACGGGTTGGCTGTCTAACAAAACCATCATCCAACCTAATGGGAATTCATCGCTTTTGGGGGAGTGTCCCCTTGGTGGGCATTCAGACCACTTGGAAGGGGAACAGCCTGCAACCGGTTTTTGTATCTGGGTCATGGTCAACGTGCGCTCCACCCGGCGGCCCTGCCCAGGCCTCGCCCAGGGCCTCAGCCGCCGCTCCGCCGCCAAGGGCTCCGACAGGCCACGGCCGCACCGGCAAACCTGAGATCCGAAGACGACAAAATCTGAAAACATGCCCCCAGACAAGCCAAGAGCATGTGACATTAGGCGAGATGTGTGTGTGTGTGTGTGCGTATGTCTGTATATGTGTGTATACATATATATATATATATATATCATATATATATATCATATATATATATATGCCAGAAGAGATATATATATATATATATACATTGATTCATATGAATTCAAAGATAAGAAAAGAAAATAAGTGTGTGTGTGTGTGCGCAGTATGTGCGGCTTTCTGCTGTCAATGAGGTTTCGCCCCGCCCACTTCATTTCCGTGCAGGTAAACACACTGTGCCGCTCATAAGGTGCTCATGCCGCGCCCCAAAATGTGTCAGGATGAGAAGACCAAGCAGTCGTGGAAGTACCTCCATGTCTCACTACCATTTCCCCTGTCAAGCTTTCAATGACATTCAAGAATGCTATGTTCAACCCCGCTTGTTCAGCCCACCCAACGATTTGCGCTCGACAATAGAGGAACCCAACTTGGAAAACATCTTCTCAGGCCTTCATCTACGTGAGCGGGGGCGACTAGCATGTCCAGCCCAATGGATTGCTGCCCCCCTCTTCTCCAGGCAAAACAACAGGCTTTGCTTTTGGTAAGCAGAGCGCTGTGCATGGCCATGGTCAAAAACAAACTCTTGTGCGGCATAGCTATTATTCCTAATTCCTTGCAATGGTTCTCCATATTACTCAATCGGGCCATCGCCGGAGCTACGAGCGGGACCTGAGCGCCTGGCCAGGTCCGCATCGCCTGAACGCCAGGGGTCTTGGGGGCAACGCTCAGAACTCACAAGACCCGATCTGCGCAGATGAAAGCCGAAGCGAATAAAAGACACTTCAACTTGTGGCCTGTTGGCTCGGAGATGTCCTGACAACTTGGAAAGCGTTCACTCAAACTCCATCTCCTACATGCATGTGCAAATGAATGTCCGGCAAGCTCACCTGATGTATGTATCTATATATGTGTATATTCATATTTATTCATATGCTGATGCAAATTCAGTTTCAATTGTACATGTGAATGCATAACGTACATGCATGCGGACACACATTGGCTATGTGTACGCAAACGTGTATGTAAACATATGTCTGCAACTATGTCCTGTGTCCATTCTCAAAGCAAACGTTTGGTCTTTACTTTTCAAAAAGGAAGACAAAAACGGAGAGATCCCTATTTTGACACGTCCCTACATGGCTTCCGAGCGTTATTGGTTCTCTTTTACTTGGATGTATTGGATGTTGAACCTACCTAGGTTACAACGATGGCTGTTTCAGTCAACCCCATGTCAACCACTCATCACCCTGGTGATATGGTCTACCTCACGTAGGTTATGTACCCAGGGTTCTACATTTTGACTAACGCAGACTCTTTCACTCCGGGGTGGTTCATTCCCCCGATTTGGTAGAACCCCTGGGGTTAAGTCCATCTTGGGATCAACCCCATCCCTGCTCTCCGCTCACCTGGCTCCGATGGTGCTAACACCTGGCCGGCGAGTGGCTAGCAACTTGTGGGGCTTCGTGCCTTGCTCCATGCGCTTGTTTTGACTGTGAACATTGACTGTGAAAAAACTGCAGTGTTGTTTGTTGCTGTGTGCATTGGATGCATAGTAACTCGTAGCGCCTCCGCAAACTCAGAGCTACCTGGCAAACTAAAGCAAGCATTACAGAAGTCTGAAACCGAAAGAAAGCTTGAAAATGCCAACCTACCAGTTACGAGAAACCCTGGGAAAATACGAATAGAACCCCAAAGCAGTCCTCAAACAGTCTTGCCACTGGATCAAGCCAGCCAAAAACCCATACAAAAAGCCAGAGAAAAAGTAACTCTAGAAAACCGTTTAAAAAAATGGAACCAAAAACCAAAAACAACTCAGACACTCTTTCTAGAAGTAGCTTCTCACTCCGTTCCACTGGAATAGAACCAGCCCAAAAGTTGAACCAAGCGGCCAAACACGTCGAGAAACAAAAAAACAAAACCTTTGAAGACATTTTAGTTGCACACACAAAAAGGAAGCAAACACGATACTCAGACAGTCTTTCCACTGGATCAAACCAGGCCAAAGTCAAAACGAAAAAGGGCGAGAAACCCATCGAATTAAGTTTGGCTTTCCTGCACTATCTATTGGAATACATATCCATTGATAGTTTCATATTGAGACTATGGAACTACTTTAACATCATCTTAAGCCAGATATGTCGTATTCACCCATTGAAGAAGTTATGAAGCTTGAAACATCATCATGCACGTTACATGATCCAAACAAGTGTAGTTATATTTACATATGTATGTGAAAAAACAAATGTATATAATACATGCATCCATTGTCCGATATTGTGTGGGTCAACAAATCTTTAACACACAGGAACAGAATACTCCTGGGCAGAAACTCATACCAAAAAAAACAAAAAACAAATATACAGACCAAAATGGCGACAAAGAGGCGTGTTGTGATCTGCACCCAACAAAAAAGTCGCATGCCATCCGGATGCCTCTTGGATGTAACTTGAATGCTGCATGGCCTGGGGACCACAGGCGCCGCGAAAGCGTCGGGCACGGCCGTCTTCGTGGGCGTTGGCCCGGTTTGGTCGCCGGGTCGTCGCTGGAGAAGGGTCAGACCAGCACCGCACTCGACGCAAGCTGAGCGCCCTCCAGCTGCATCCGGTGGAGGGCTCGTATAACAGGCAAACCGCTTGTTTTGGGAGTGCCATATCACACTTTGAAGCATACTTGGCAACAACGAGAAAGTGATATTAACAATTGATGAAACAGGGAAAAGGGAAGCCTCGGAAACGCTTAAGTCTGGCACTCAATAAAGAATGATTAAAATGGCCTCATTGAGCTGAACTCAAGTGCCAAAGTCAAGACCCAAGTGCATGCCCCATCAGAGGCCGTGGAACGGTCAATCTCAGGGCACGCTGAAAGTCTGGCTGTTTTGTTTTGTCGACGTGAGATCGTCCAGCCGTCCATTGCGGCTCACACAGTGGATTGGCCTTGGCCTTGTACCTTGTTCCTCACACCTCATAGACCTTCTCAAGCCTCGTCCTGGCCTAAGCTGCGGCTACCCAAAAGACTAGTTCGACAAAGGTCCCAGTCAGAATCAAAACCCGGCGTTCCGGGTCTAGAAGGAAGCGAAGGGCGGAAAGCCGCCGCACCTATGGTTGAGACTGTCCGGACAAAACCCTTAACCGAATTTTGACTGGAGCTTTCATGACCCAAAGCATGTCGCACCTGACCCTGACCCATCCAAAACCGGTGGCGTGTTGGTTCCCCAAATGCAGTGCCTGCCTCTTGGTGACACTCCGGACAGCAAAAGGCCCTGCGGCGCACAGGGAGCTGAGCTCTCGCACAAGTCCACAGTTGCGTACGGATCAACACAGGCACCATGGAGCCCTTTGAAGGGCGTTGAACATTTTTTTCAAATTACCTTTGGATAGCAAGCAGCTTGCGACTTCTTCGAGCCCAAGGGAATCGAGACCAGGGCTGCCTGCCCTTACATCGCAGGTGAGATTCGCTGAGGTCAAACGCAGACTTACCAGTGAACCTCATGTTCGTCTAGCAACAAATCCACAGGCTGGCATGGCACTGCAAGTCTCTGCGCCAAACTCCCATTCGTTTCTTCCACCATCTCAACAAAATCGTCGAGCTCCCGACCCGAAAGGGGAACACGACGGCCTGGCGGCATCCAGCGGCTGCAGGCACCGGCTGCAGCTGCAACGGAACCCCTCGAATGGCAGGGGCGGCTCGTCGTTTTTTTTCGGGGAATGTGACTCCCCGAGATGAGAATCAAGTTTTACTGCGAGTGTCCATTAAAAGCATGCCAACCACTGTGAAGGTATGCAGAATGGGTCTGACTCTAATCGACTGCAGGGTCCTGGAAAACCGTTCTCCTGTGGGAGGAACCCTCTGCTGGACCGTATAATCTGCGCATGTTATGACAACACAACTGGGGCAAACGTGCCAGACAGGGTCTCGATTACCCAAAACGAATGACAGCTGAAAGTCTGTAGTCAACATAACACGTCGAATGGTGTGTGTGTATATGTATATATATATATATATGTACATACATACAGAAAGAGAGAGAGAGAGAAACACAAAATGCAGATGAAGCAAATGTAAAGAATGTTGCTAGATTCCCGGCTGTACTGGCTTCATTATTTCCAGGGATCCTCCTCATCATAGAAATGCCCACAAATTTTCAGGGAGTTGGATAACTTATCGAAAGGAAGGACGGATGAAAAAGAACGTTCGAAACAACAACCTTCAGACCTTGATCTTCTCTTTACCAGGCGGAGTTGGACCTAACCCCTTATGCTTTAAATATACATTCAAACCACTTTGTGTAAACAACGACTCTTTTCGCATCCCTTTCAACCGGGATCCTTACATTATACACCTGAACATTGCCTTGTAAATGGTGGTGTCCAACCTTATCTTCGTGTTGAAAACGCCACATGTGATTTTTCAAATGGTTGCGAGAAACGTATCTTTTAAGGAGCCCTGTGAGATCTCGACCTCAAACCAAACCTTCAAAATCGACTGTTGAAAACCGGCGACTTCACGGGAGAACGGGAGAACCAGCGCCAGTGAGCCTTGGTGAGCTCCAGGAGATCTTGGCGGTCGCAGCTGGGCAGGCACAGCTCCCCGGGGCTGAGGTAGGAGATGGTCACCTCCTCTCGATCTGCGCTGGCCGTAGGAAATCTATCCACAACACGAAGGCCTGAGGTTTGCTCAGAGCTTTCGGCATGGAAGAAACCTCCACTGTGATGCCGGGCCCTCGACCAAAGTGCGAAACCGCTTGACGTTGAAGAACTTTGGCGAGCAGCAGCTGCTATGGCTGCTATGGCCCTTCATCTGCTGTGTTGGCCAAGCTTGACGGCGCAGTCGAGATCTTGAGATCAGCATTGACAAGACCAGACCGGTGATTTGCGGGATTCACGTCAGCCCGAAAGGCCTCATGGCCACCAGACTGGCGCTGGTCATGGACCTTTTGATGGTCAAATTGCACGAGAGGGAAACTGCTTCACTGCTTAGTAAGTGGCTACCAACCCTGCTTTTGTGCTCGCACCGTTTCTGTTGCTTTTGGTTGGAAGCTATTGACTGCTTGTGTCCTACCTCTTGAAGGACATAGTAGTCACAACCTAAACGTGGCAGGAAAAGAACATTTTGGCCCATGTGGTCCATCCGAACACAACGGCTCCACCCGAAATTGGCCAACACTAATGCTTGCAGCTCACGGACCCGACGCCATTGCCATGTATCGCATTTCGACGCCCAACCACAGAGGGCAAAACATGGTGCACAGATCTTGGGGGTCTTTGTTCATCGAGAAGGGAGCAAAGGCCTCGCTCGCGAATTCAAGCTAGAGAGTCACCTGACACGGAGCTAAAAACAAGCCAAGGTGCAGATAACAGTTGCACATCACATTCTTGAAGCCAAACAAAAAGAACAACAACACGCCGGGAACCCCAAGCCTTGCTCCGAAGCTCCCCGCTCCCAGAGCGCTCCTGCCCTTCCTCGATGAAACTCCGAGCATGGAGGATGAAGCTGTTGTTCTCATCCAGGTGCCACGCCTAGAGAACTCGTGGTGGCTCGTCTTTTTTGTTCCGGACCCCAATGGCTGCGGTTTTCCGGACCCCATTTCGCAACCACCTCCTGTTTTATGGATGATGTTTATATGCTGGGAGACTGCAGGTTCTGGGGGTCCGAAACCAAGGGACGCCCCCCCGTTTGGGATCCTGGTTACATGTTGCCACGAAGGGGAATCAAAAGGGGCCCTGGTCAAGACGTCGAACTGGCAACGGGAGACGTCGCGCGGTGAAGACCAACGAGGCTTCCACAATTTTCAGCTGGCTCTGCAAACCCTGTCGGAAATATGAAGAAAGTGCTCAGAAAGCCCTGGCTGAGACAAAATACGCAATTGACTTGGCCGGGATTTTTGGAAACACAAGAGGGGAGGTCTTTGTCCTGAAGCAGCAAGTGTCCAAAACAAAGCGAAAACGAAGAAACAACAAATGGTGTGTCTCTTCCACAAAATGGTGGTCTTCCGTTGGTTTCCCCCTAAAACCACCCAAAAAGGGGTACCCTCAAAAACGGACACGCCCAAATCTGGAGCTTCTATCAAACGGATGGAAAGGCGGGCACTCGGCCTCCCCGCCGCGTTGGGCGCGCAGGAATGCGACTGCATGGCCGCGCAAAGGAAGATTGCACCCGCCTCGCATCGCGGCCATGCATGCCTCACACCTGTAGGACTCCACTGGTTTGTAGACCCCCGGCCCCAGGTATTGCTTGGCCCCGTTTGAAGGGCATGTGAAAGATCCCCCCTTCTCTGCATGTCTCCAGCTTGGGGAAACTAGGGGATGCGCTTTGGATGGCATTTGAACGAAAAACTGAAAAGGAACACCTGCCATTGCGGAGGCCCTAATCTGTAGACACATCCACCTGCGTTCTACCCCGACCAACTTTTGGCGAAACCCCAAACGCGACGCGACTCACCCACAAATTGGGACGGGGGAGACACTCCTGATTCTTGAGTGGGTGCGCTTACCAGTTGGCTGGCATGGAGCGGGCGCTTACCATTTGGCTGGCATGAACACAGTCCTATGCTCTTGAGCGAGTTGGCTGGCATGGACACAGTCCTGAGCGATTGCTCTTGAGCGGGTGAGCTTACCATATGGATGCAGTGCTGAGCGGGCGCTCTTGAGCGGGAGTGCTTACCATGTGCTTGGTATGGACGCAGTCCTGAGCGGGTGCTCTTGAGCGGGTGTGTTTACCATTTGGCTGGCATGGACAAAGTCCTGAGCGGGTGCTGTTAAGCGGGTGCGCTTACCATTCGGATGGCGTGGACACAGTGTTGAGCGGGCGCTCTTGAGCGGGTGCACTTACCATTTGGCTGGCAGGGAGACAATCCTGAGTGGCGCGCTGTGCTCTTGAGCGGGTGCGCTTAGCATTTGGTGGGTGCCCTTTAGCGGGTGCGCTTACCATTGGACACAGTGCTGAGCGGGCGCTCTGCAGCGGCTGTGCTTGCCATTTGGCTGCCATGGAGACGGTCCTGAGTGGGCGTGCTGTGCTCTTGTGCGGGTGCCTTAGCATTTGGTGGCTCTGGAGCTGGTATGCTTTCCGTTTGGCTGCCACGAAATGCTGCCCCTGCCACACGAGATGCACACACTTGACTTCCAACATGCAGGACACGCTGCGCCTGCCGACAAACATGCGCACTCTTGACCTCCAACATGCACGAAGTGCTGCGCCTGCCAATGAAAAGGCACTATCTGTGACACAGCCAAAAAGAAGATCCACGGTTTCCGGGCCGCGCGAACGCGCCTGTGCAGTCGAAACGATGTCTTTTAGCTCCAACACGCACGAAATGCTGCGCCTGCCAACGAGCATGCGCATGCTGTGAAACACCTTAACGCGCGTTTACGCGAAGACCGGGCCAACAACAACAACAACAACAACAACAACAACAACAACAACAACAACAACCACAACCACAACCACAACCACAACCACAACCACAACCACAACCACAACGACAACCACAACCACAACCACAACCACAACCACAACCACACCCACACCCACACCCACACCCACACCCACGACCACGACCACGACCACGACCGGGACCACGACCGCGACCACGACCACGACCACTATCACAGCCACAGCCACAGCCACAGCCACAGCCACAGCCACAGCCACAGCCACAGCCACAGCGACAGCGACAGCGACAGCCACAGCCACAACCACAACCACAACAACAACAACAACAACAACAACAACAACAACAACAACAACAACAACAACAACAACAACAACAACAACAACAACAACAACAACAACAACAACAACAACAACAACAACAACAACAACAACAACAACAACAACAACAACAACAACAACAACAACAACAACAACAACAACAACAACAACAACAACAACAACAACAACAACAACAACAACAACAACAACAACAACAACAACAACAACAACAACAACAACAACAACAACAACAACAACAACAACAACAACAACAACAACAAAAGCCAAAACAAAAACAAAAACAACAACAAAAACAACAACAACCAACAAACAAGCAATAAATAACAATCCAACCAACCAACCAGCCAACCAAGCAACCAAACAAACAACAAACAACCAAACCAACAAACAAACCAACAAACAAACAAACAAACAAACAAATACACGAACAAACAACAAACAAACCAACAAACAAGCAAACAACAAACAACCAACCAACCAACCAAACAAAAACAAAAACAAATAAATAAACAAACAAACAAACAAACAAACAAACAAACAAACAAACAAACAAACAACAAACAAACAAACAAACAACAAACAACAAACAAACAACAAAGCTTACAGCCGGTGCTTCCAGAGGACAAAAGTTTATGGCCCCAACTCCATTTTGTGTGGCAGGAATGGAACATGAAATGCTTGAAGGCTTTGCAGTGTGGAAACTCGACCGCAAGAAGGACGCACCAACAACTTGCAGATTCTAGGGGGAAAGGCCTGCGTTCTCAAACAAGGCCCGCGAGGCGCAACTTTTGTCTTGGCAGTGCATCTGTCAACTTCCGCTGGTGTGCCTACCAAAAATAACAGATCCGCGGCACGTGATTGTTGAAGGGTTCGTCTATTTTTGGCATCCACGCCTCCCGGGTTTTCGGCCCGCTGTCCCACAAGGCACTACTTGTCTGACGAGCCATGGCCTCCTTCCCATCCTCTGAGAGGTCGAAGGAGTTGTAGATCCAGACCTTGGGGATGGAATCCTTCGCTGCTTGGGGGTGTCTTTCTGAAGCCCTTTGCGGTTTTGAAGGGGGATTCCCAAAGGAAAACCGCAATCCGTTTTGGCGGTCCCAAAAACAAAGACACACCCGCTTCAGGCTATGAGCGAAGTACGTCGTTCCATGCCAAAGCCACATACTCATTCAACATTCAAATGGTAAAGTATGTATTTGTTTTGGTATGGAGATCAAACATGCATCAAGGTGCATGCTGCTGTACAAGTCATTTGGGGTGACTTCAAAAGGTAGTCTCCAATGAATGTTGTAAATACAAGCCCAAATTGGCCAGATCCAAAAACAATCGCGATATGTCCATTGTCATTGATCGCCTGAGAGCTTCAACCAAACAGCTCACAACCCAAAAGACTGACAACCCCAGAAACGAATCTAGACACAGCCTCAACAATGGCTTTCTAAATCTAGTTCGCTTCCCAGTCTATTCTGAGCTCAATATCTGTACGTGACAATGACTGCACTTGCACCATTGCCCGGCGTCCTGCGTTCAACTTCATTAACGCAGAGTGGTGCGCTTAGTTTTGGAGTAATATTTTAGCGGCTTAGACGGAGGGGAAATATTGGCGGCAGCCGGTTGGCTTCCGGAATATTGTCCACCTGCAACAAAGATGTTGGGCCCATCAAAGGGCCCAAAGAAGCAGAAGACACTTGAAGCTTCTGTTCTTTAAATGGCCATAAGTTGCACATATGCTTGCCCCGATCCAAACAATGGTACGAAGGTCATTCGGGCCCCAGCCGAACCCAAGAAAAGATACGCAAACACGGGCACACAACACCTAAAGCAACAAACAGATCACTCCTCCCATATCAACAAAACACAACTCCCATGTTCACCCCCCTCCCCTCTCGCGCCAACAGAAGAAAACATGCCGCGCCGAGCTCCCAATCTCCCCCTGCAATGCCTGCAGCAGCTCCTCAAGCAGCTCGGCCGCTGGCGCACTCGTGGCGCCTTTTGGCCAAAGGGCAGCTCTCAGCGCCAGGATGCCTCGGCGTGGTTCTGGCCAGAGGTGTCGTTGCTCCCAAAACCATGGGGGGAAGCCCCGGGGTACAGTGAGACGAGGTAGCACACAGACCACTGTTGCCACTCAAAGTTCTTCGCCCGAACTCTCCTGTTCTTGGATGCCCAAAGGTGGGCCTCCTTGGGTGGTGCTTCTGTTGTCCTCCAGAAGGCCTTATTGGCGGGCCAAACAAACTGGATGGGGGTCGGAAGAAAAGGGCCATCACCTTCTGGGCCCGAACAGTGCGTTGTGCTGGCCCGACCAGTCGGATAGGTCCCTTCTCAAGAGGGTTCCCTCAGATACGGGCGTGATCTTGAAGCCTCATGGCCAAAGTTGGTTTGGAGTTTGGTGCTTTGGACCTGGCTGTTGGTGCCTTCTCCATTTGGCTTCAAAAGGAGGTGGGGCACCTCAAACCACCAAAAAGGGAAACTTGACCATCCACCTACCCATTCTACGCCTTACACCTAAAAGTGGAATCTATGCGTCGCAGCTCGTTTCAGGGCTGCTCCAAAAGAAAGGGTCCCAATTAGCCAAGCAGAGTGCTGCCCTCTGCAACAAGCGTGAAAGCCCGCTCATTGGGGCGCGTGGATGTAGACGAAAGCCGTTGAAGTCAACACGAACACCGATGATTCACCGATTGCAGAATGGATAGAGAAGTGTAATCTTGGTTTGGCTTTGATGCCAACTAAAATCGGGGCCTAATTCTAGGAAACACCCACGTCAACACATTGACATGTGTGTTGCTCTAGGGGCCAGCCCCCCCAACTTGGGGAATACCCGGTGGGAATTGCCAAGAGTCTGCGGTGGTGCTTTGGGTCTAAGGGCAGTGTTCCCACAGTAAACCCAGGTCCACCCATCAAACCTGAGCGCGTCTTGACCATGGTTGCCTTGAGAGGAGCCCGAATTGCAGCAATCAGACGTCCGGAATTGAAGCACTCAGTGACCCCATATAGCACGTCTGATCATTTAGAATCTTATTCACCCTGGTCCGCCATCCTCAGAGAGCTCAGCTATGACACTTCCTCAAGATAGCGCTTTAATCCCAGAGGCGGAAAAAAGCGAAGGGATGGCCAATGGACGAGTAAGTTATCTTCCCACCTCCTCCCTCCTCATCTATAATCTAACTAATGAATGCAAGGTCATAGACAGTTAACTCACGGAGAGCCATTCCATGCGGTGCAAAGAGCAGGATGAGCATGGATGAGTGAAACTATGAGAGTTGACAGTCCATCACCTCTTCTCTACCCGTCCAAATTAGGCAATGATAAAGGGACGGGATATGAATTGAGAGCTTCTCTCCAATCACATTGTGTACATTCTAAATCCAAAGGATGTCCTGTAATCAGCTCTGTCTCTGTCTTCTTTCCAATATAATTACTGCAAATGAGAAGTAAAATGATGGATGGTGATAAAAAGACAGAAGCAAACAAGATGCTCGAGAGTAGATGAATCCAGGTATTATCAAGGGTCAACAAGACATAGATATTGCAACCATTTAAATGACTAGAGACTTATGGATGGGTACAAAGATTCTCGCCAATCTATTCCTCAAGCCGCCCTCAAGGGCACCTATTAACTCCAGCCCGATTGCTCTTCCTTCGTCATGTACCGCTCGAAACCATGTTAGGCAAAGAAACGGAGACAACTAATGGGAATTAATTGAAAGACTTATTGTATCTATCATTCATCTCATGTAGCCGTCTTCGTTTTATTCACAATGTTGCTGTTTTATTTAAACAACATACGCCAGCATAGACCCCAGATAGCAAAAAGCATTCCAACAATTGCACACCAGACCAGCACCCCCCGAAGAGCAAACAACACCCCCACCAGCATCCTAAAACAGCACCTGCACAAGAATCCGCCCTAGCACCTTGCTGTCAATCTCGCAAAAACACACCTGGCCGTCTCTAGGCCCGCAAAATAGCAACTGCACCAGCACCCAAACTGCATGCCCCTTACCACCCTGCCATTCTCGCACAAACGCGCCCGTGCCCGTCGCCCCTGCAAAACAGCACCCGCATCCCAAACTGCCCCCTAGCATCCTGCCATCAATCTTGCAAAAGTGCGCCTGCGCCATCACCCCAACAGCACCCCCAGAGCACCCGGCCCGCACCATCACCAGCACCTCAAGCACCCCAAACAGCACCGCAAACAGCACCCCAAACAGCACCTACACCAGCACCCCAAACTGCACGGGCCCTAGCACCCAGCCGTCAAACTTGCAAATCACGTTCCCCTCCTTATTAGAAGCTAGAACCCCTATAGCGTTCAGCTATCTGGCGGGAGAGAACAAAAAAGAAAGATATTTCCGTGTGAGAGCTATTTAAGCTGGAGAGTTGATCAAGCATTTATTTTCTTTCCTACGTCTGTTCTATTTCAACTTTGTCTTAGGGACGGAATTTCCAAAGATTTAACTGGTATGGGAGAGGAAAAGAGGATGAGTGATAAAGACGGATCCAAATGATGAAAGGATATGAAGGGGAGCACAAAGAAAAAAAAAACTAGTTATTATACATATATATATATATATATGTATTCCTCATTCGTATCTCTTAATCTATTATCTTCTCCAGCATTAACCTCGAGAACTTCCAAGATGAAGATAGTAAAAATGCGTCAATCGGAGGAAGAAAAAAAAAAAGAAGCGACCATGAGATAAAGAGATGTAAAGAAAAGAAAGAGGCAAGGAACTGAAATTAAAATAAAGAATATGTAAGCAAGAAAACTGTATTAAATTATATGTATATATAAACTCAAAATACAACCGCAATCAAAAAAAGAAGAGATGCATGAATAGATCAATGAAGAGAAAATAGAGATAAATGAAGAGGCAATATGATGGAAGCACTCCTCGCTCGCCTCATTTGGCTCTCTGTTCCCCCCCTAACAGCTCCAGAAAGATTTCGCTTCATGTCTATGGCAGGAACCAGCTAAGCTGCTTAAAAGAGGGATACCCATGGGCGGCTTCCCTGGAGTTCCCCTTCAAGTAATCAGACAGACCGCCACTTTTGCCGCACCGCTTTCTGATCCGATCGCTGCCGAGCCCAGACCTCAACCTGCAAGCAGCGCAGTTCGTTGCCCATCCAGAAACAACCCCCAAGTAGGCAGTTTGGACCAGACTGGGGAAATAGACCCCTGAGCTTCTCTCGCTTTGCTAACTCATAAAATGAAACAAAATCAAATCAACCGCAGAGAAGCTTCCTTTCGATTTCACGCAAAGAAAGTAGTAAACTAAGCGCAATCGTCTCTTGAGAGCGTCAAATGTCAAACCGGGCACCTGGGCCATGGTGTCCCTTTGGTCGTCAACTCTCACAGGTTGCGACTTCCGCTCCTCAGGTCCTTGGTCGCCTGAGGGAAACCATTCCCAGAAATTTGGAGAACCTCGAAAAAAATTACCTGAAGCGACCCAGTGGACAAAGCTGCGCTTGACACCTGGCAAAAAGGAAAATACGCTCTCTCGCCGGGGCGCCGGGGCGCACAGCCGAAGTCCTCCCCCCACTCCTCGCGTGCGAATGGATTGAGATTTGGACCTGGCAAAGGGCTTGTCGCCCGTGGACTGGATGTAGCTGCCCATGGATCACTCCAGAAAACTGAGGTGAAAATGGCCCGGACTAGCAGAACAACCCGAAGTTTCCGAAGGCAGAACCAAAACCTTCCGACCCATGTGGACAGAATCGGCTTCCCGTGGCTTCATTTCGTGGTGCGAACGAATTTCGTCCACCCGCAGGTCGCCACTTTGGCCCTGCCCTCGGGCTGGCGATACGCCGAGGTGCCGGCAGCGGGTCGTCCAGCATCCGCCGCAGGCGCCGTACCTCGCGCCCGTAGAAGCGCCGCAGCGCGCGGCGCAGGCGCCCCTTCTGCGCCGGGACCGGCGCCCAGTAGACGTCCCGCACCTCGAATCGAGGAGAAGTCCAACCCCAGGGGAAGAAGAACGTGGCTCGCCAACCAAAACAGCTGGAATCTCTGTCTTGCAGATACCCGCTTATGAAAAATATGTGGTTTCCTTTTGGTTCCCCGACTTGCAGAGGCACAGGTTTCTTTTCAGGGCTTCGGCCTGCAAAGCGCTGGCTAAGGGTCAACACTCAACCCGACCAAGTCCTTTAAACCTTGCCCCCACAACAAGTGCCCTGACAACCATTCCCTTTCCCTGAGTGAGCAGGCGTGCAACTTGGCAATTCTCACATATCAACGGCCACAACCCACTTCGAGGACTCCTAGCCCAGATTTATGTGGCTAATCTGCTTTCCTCAAACAGAGACAAACTTGGAGGCATCCACCCTGTGCAGGTCCGAAAGCTCTGGCTTTCAGACAACCAGGAGGAGCGAAAAGCTGGTTGAGCCAACCCCCGGCAACCTCAAGCTCTCTCCCAAGCTCAAGCAGCGTGATGCGGCTCAAAGGCGTCGTCCGGCATCGCAGTTGGAAGCTCCTGGGCGCGTTCCAGTTTGGACCGAAATCCTCAAGATAGAGGCGTGGGCCTAGATGTTGAAGCGAGAGAAGCTGATCTGTTCAGAAAAAAAAAAAAAAAAAAAAAAAAAAAAAAAAAAAAAAAAAAAAAAAAAAAAAAAAAAAAAAAAAAAAAAAAAAAAAAAAAAAAAAAAAACGCCGAACAAAAGCAAGTGAGGAATCAGCAAGGGCTCCTTGTTCCTCCAGTGGTGAGGTTTCACACAGAATCGAAGCAGTCCAAGCACAACATCTACCAACATGCCCAAGCAGACTTATGTGAATGGATGCGTTAGGAACAATAGCGAGCAAAACGAAACATCATCCCCACCACCCTTTTTGAGCGTCCGAACTGGGATTTTTCCATGGGATCTCAATTCAGCCCCCTACCCACCCACCCGCTCACCCGCCCACCTACCCTCCCCCGGTCCTCCCCAAGGAACTCCAGCACTCGCCTCAGCTCCCGGCGGGGATCCGCCCGGAAGCGCTCAGAGATCACCACCTCAGCCAGGAGCCGGGAGCGCCGCACACGAGTTGCTCGTATGACCATGTCACCCACAACCTTCGGCGAACCCCTTCTTCTGATACTCTCACTTATTGAGTTGTTCAGTCGAAAACCCCAACATTCGAGTTACTCTAAATACATGAATTCAAAAAGGAACACTCCAGGATTGGGGTCTTGGGAACAGGAAGCCTCTGGACTGAATACATGTTGCCAGTGTAAAAATAGGAGCGGGTGGTCAAAACCAGTGTTTGTCCCCGGACTGGATTCGTTGACGATACCAGTGCAAGTAAGTATGAACTCAAATTCAGGGGACCCTTTGGTGGACATCACTTACTGCATATACGACTATGTCCACCCACCATTGTGTGACGAGTTCATCATTGGAGTTCATAGCCGTTTTGGTCTTCCTACGAAAGAAGGCCCTGAGATTGGTGAACCTTCATCTGAGGTCTCGAAGGGGATTTGGATCGGCTTGGGCAAGTTTAGCATTATTTTTATTGTTGTTCACTGTGGCAACCTGGTAGGAAGGTGCACCTCTGGACAGATTGGTCGCGACTGCTGCTAATCACCAGCAACAGCTGGTATTAAAGTTGTCTACCCCCATGTAAAGAGCGAAAAGGGTAGGAAGCTAAATCATTCTTGTGTACCTCTTGCAGCCGTCCTGCTGGCTCTCCTTTCAGCAGCCCAGCTCTGTGTCAAGTTAAGCAAACTGTAGGCTACCCCTGCGAGATCCGTTATTGTAACCAGCCATTGATCTGGACCAAGGGTTGTGTCTTCTGGATTCAAACATCCACAAGGAAGGGGTCTTCATCATGAGTGAGTTTGTTTTACCGCTCGCCATATTCGTCCGACTCTCTTAGATGGGTTCGACTTCCCCCAAATAAGTGGGACAAGGAAAATGGGACGGTTTAACCCACTGTGTAGCTTGAACCCAACAAGTCGTAGACCGGTGGATTCCGCATGAAGTCGCAGGATTTGGAAGCGTCATCCTGACTCGAAGGCGCCAAGACTTGTTCGGCGGGGTAGTAATTCAAAATCCGCGCCAGCTGCTCGCTGTAGAGGCCTGAGCCCACAGCTCCAAGCAATTCTGCTTCAAACTAACTTTTTGTTGAACAGATTCAAAACACTGAAAAAACAGTGAAAGTACAAATTGATGTGTGTATATATACATATATCTATATTCATGTGTATATATATAGACTATATATATATAGACTATATATATATAGTATATACATACATATACATATACATATACATATATATATATATATACATATATATATATATGCTACCCCCCCCTTGAGATACTCAGGTTTTTGGACCGAACTGAGGTTTTTGGCCGACTGGGGGTAACAAATGCCTTGAGACTCTGAAATGAACTGGACACTCAACTCCATGCAAATTCTAACCAAGCAGAAGTTAAGCTCAACGTTGATTAGGAGTAGCGAGTTGTGTGACCGTCACATTGGCGTGCGCGAAGTGCACTTAAAGTCACATTGGAGTATGCAAAGTGCAATTTGGCAGCTCCAGCTCCAAAAACACAACTGTTCAGTACAGGAGTAGTGCGCAAAGTAGGTTTTGGCAGCTTCAACGCGCCTGTAGCAGCCCTATTATTTGGTGTTTATTATTTTTCTTTGGCAGCGAAATTCAGCAAAACATCAACTCGGGGAAGAGGAACTCATTCCTAATTCATGTCCTTGCGCAGTTGCATTTACATGTTAACTCGAGTGTTGTGCATAATTCCTGACATGAACATATGTTGCAAAGCAACTATCCCACGTGTGTGTGTGTGTGTTGCTTGTCTAAGTTGGTTCCATCATCGCCACTAACAACTATTGAAATTCAAGTAAGAGAAGAATATTCACTTACAAAAAGCTTTCGAGTTCAAACCAAATTCAAGCTTACTCGTTTGCAGTTTCTTGTGCATTATCAACTGGATCAGAAGATAGCTATTGTCGTGGCCAAATGAATTTGGAATCAAACTCAATTTTGAAAGGGTTATTGTCCTTCGACCTCCATGTGGTTTGAACCAAGCAAGAACTGAGCCAAGCCAATGACAGGAACGTGTTTTCAATCATAGATCCTATTCTTTGCATAAATGCTGTAAAACGCAGTGTTTTTCAGCATTTGCTCAGATCGTGTTGCCCTGGATCGAACATCGAATATACAAGATTCCACAAACATATGCTTAGAATGTACTCAATCCTGGTCCCCCAAAAACTTGACAGTTTGTTCTAGACTCGTCAAGGTTTCGCCCCCTGCATTGAAGATTGAAGATCTACCAGCTTTTCTATTTGAGAATCTTCCATTCTGGCCAGCCCTCAAGTCCACACAAAAATGTCAAGGTGTCAGCAACAGTCTTCCCCCTGGCCAATTGCAGGCAGTGCAAGTGCACATCCACATTTTGATTCTGACAACGTGCACATACGTGCACTCCCGGTCTGCCTTTTGGATTCTTCAAACCCGCACTTAAGGCAATCCAGGATCTGGATGGGAAATTCAAGATTCTCTGACAACTCTTTCTGAAATTCTCCAAATATGTACTTAGAGTAATCCAGGATGTGCTAGCACGTGCTAGCACATCCTGGATTGAAGATTGAAGATTGAAGATTCTCAGACCACTTGTTCTGGAAATCTTCAATCCATCCTGAGGACAAACTGGTATGTGCTAGCACGTGCTAGCACATCCTGGATTGAAGATTGAAGATTGAAGAATCCCAGAGAGAGTTGTCAGAGAATCTTCAATCTTTAATCTTCAATCTTCAATCCAGGATGTGCTAGCACGTGCTAGCACATACCAGTTAGTCCTAAGGACGGATTGAAGATTTCCAGAACAAGTGGTCTGAGAATCTTCAATCTTCAAGAGCCTGATTGCATTTTTTCAGCCAAAATGTCAAGTTCAGTCCAAAAACCTGAGTATTCCAGCGGGGGGGGGGGTACCATACATATACATATATATATATATATATCTCATGTGTATGTGTATATATATATATGCTACCCCCCCCCCCGATGGATCTACTTGTTTGCTGTTTGAAGGCTATTTCGGAGATGAAATGCAGCTGTTTTATTTGGAGTGCCCCATTCGACTTTACCAGCATCAGCTCACCCTAAGCAAGGATATTCTCTTCAAATCTAATTTGGAATAACAATTCCAATTATGGTTTTTGTTGCAAAGGAGATCCTACTACCTTCTCTTCAAAGTCAGAAATTCCACTAGAATCATTTCCTTATTAGATTACATTCAGTTCTAGATGGAGAGTGGGGAAACAATTTCCCGAGAAAGGGCGTTCTCTGTACAATACATGTTGAAGTAAGAATCCCAATTAACAATGATCTTCACAATGGAAGTCCTATTCAAATCACCTTTAAGTCTAGAAAATATATGGCGCGGTGTTCACGTTTAATGTCTATTTGAATTATAAATGGAAAATTGAACAACACATATTGCAAAAAACATCATTGTGAACATCTAATTTCAATTGAGAATTCCAATAATTAAAAAAGCTTTTAACGAACACCTATGGAAAAGAAATATCTTTCAAACTAGAAGTTATGATATAATATGCCTGTATTAGATTCTATTGACACTATGCCAAAAAGGCAACCCGGTTGAACATCATACATACATACATACATACATACATACATACATACATACATACATACATACATACATACATACATACATACATACATACATACATACATACATACATACATACATACATTACATACATACATACATACATACATACATACATACATACATACATACATACACATACATACATACATACATACATACATACATACATACATACATACATACATACATACATACATACATACATACATACATACATACATACATACATACATACATACATACATACATACATACATACATACATACATACATACATACATACATACATACATACATACATACATACATACATACATACATACATACATACATACATACATACATACATACATACATACATACATACATACATACATACATACATACATACATACATACATACATACATACATACATACATACATACATACATACATACATACATACATACATACATACATACATACATACATACATACATACATACATACATACATACATACATACATACATACATACATACATACATACATACATACATACATACATACATACATACATACATACATACATACATACATACATACATACATACATACATACATACATACATACATACATACATACATACATACATACATACATACATACATACATACATACATACATACATACATACATACATACATACATACATACATACATACATACATACATTACATACATTACATACATACATACATACATACATACATACATACATACATACATACATACATACATACATACATACATACATACATACATACATACATACATACATACATACATACATACATACATTACATACATACATACATACATACATACATACATACATACATACATACATACATACATACATACATACATACATACATACATACATACATACATACATACATACATACATACATACATACATACATACATACATACATACATACATACATACATACATACATACATACATACATACATACATACATACATACATACATACATACATACATACATACATACATACATACATACATACATACATACATACATACACATACATACATACATACATACATACATACATACATACATACATACATACATACATACATACATACATACATACATACATACATACATACATACATACATACATACATACATACATACATACATACATACATACATACATACATACATACATACATACATACATACATACATACATACATACATACATACATACATACATACATACATACATACATACATACATACATACATACATACATACATACATACATACATACATACATACATACATACATACATACATACATACATACATACATACATACATACATACATACATACATACATACATACATACATACATACATACATACATACATACATACATACATACATACATACATACATACATACATACATACATACATACATACATTACATTACATTACATTACATACATACATACATACATACATTACATACATACATACATACATACATACATACATACATACATACATACATACACATACATACATACATACATACATACATACATTACATACATACATACATACATACATACATACATACATTACATACATACATACATACATACATACAATACATACATACATACATACATACATACATACATACATACATACATACATACATACATACATACATACATACATACATACATACATACATACATACATACATACATACATACATACATACATACATACATACATACATACATACATACATACATACATACATACATACATACATACATACATACATACATACATACATACATACATACATACATACATACATACATACATACATACATACATACATACATACATACATACATACATACATACATACATACATACATACATACATACATACATACATACATACATACATACATACATACATACATACATACATACATACATACATACATACATACATACATACATACATACATACATACATACATACATACATACATACATACATACATACATACATACATACATACATACATACATACATACATACATACATACATACATACATACATACATACATACATACATACATACATACATACATACATACATACATACATACATACATACATACATACATACATACATACATACATACATACATACATACATACATACATACATACATACATTACATACATACATACATACATACATACATACATACATACATACATACATACATACATACATACATACATACATACATACATACATACATACATACATACATACATACATACATACATACATACATTACATACATACATACATACATACATACATACATACATACATACATACATACATACATACATACATACATACATACATACATACATACACATACATACATACATACATACATACATACATACATACATACATACATACATACATACATACATACATACATACATACATACATACATACATACATACATACATACATACATACATACATACATACATACATACATTACATTACATTACACATTACATTACATTACATTACATTACATTACATTACATTACATTACATTACATTACATTACATTACATTACATTACATTACATTACATTACATTACATTACATTACATTACATTACATTACATTACATTACATTACATTACATTACATTACATTACATTACATTACATTACATTACATTACATACATACATACATACATACATACATACATACATACATACATACATACATACATACATACATACATACATACATACATACATACATACATACATTACATACATACATACATACATACATACATACATACATACATACATACATTACATACATACATACATACATACATACATACATACATACATACATACATACATACATACATACATACATTACACATACATACATACATACATACACATACATACATACATACATACATACATACATACATACATTACATACATACATACATACATACATACATACATACATACATACATTACATTACATTACATTACATTACATTACATACATACATACATACATTACATTACATTACATTACATTACATTACATTACATTACATTACATTACATTACATTACATTACATTACATTACATTACATTACATTACATTACATTACATTACATTACATTACATTACATTACATTACATTACATTACATTACATTACATTACATTACATTACATTACATTACATTACATTACATTACATTACATTGCATTACATTACATTACATTACATACCTACATACATACATACATACATACATACATACATACATACATACATTTGTGCGTGTCCCATGTGTCTGTGCACAGTATACATGTTTTTTTGTTTTTGCTTAACATCATGTAAATATGTATGATATATATATATATATGTGCATGGGAGACCTGAGGAGATTATGGTCGGCATGGAAAGGAAGCCAAAAGAGGCCGGTCTCGTGTCCCTTTCAAGCATGAACACTCCTGCGATTGCCAGGAGACACTGGGAATTGAAAGCAATTGTTAGTATATGACGAGAAACGGTGCCGCCAAACAAAAGGGAAAGGAGTAAACCATTCCAAAGAATCATGAATGGAAAGGGTATCCGGCTCATCCACCTTTGTGCACGTTGACAGGATCCGCTTTCTCAACCGCCATGCCTTGTGAGCCTACCTGCAAAGCTACCTTCTACCAAACACCTCCAGCACTCAGGAAACTCATTCTAGCAACTTCTCCACAGTTACAGAACAAAACTGGAACCGATCTTCTGATCCTTTTTGGAGCTTCGTGCACAGCCTTGAACAATGCTTACAGACTGGGCTGGAACAAAAGCTAGCTTCCGAACAATTCATTGATAAGTTGCTGTCAATTTGGGAGGGTTGTTCAAGTTGGAGCAAACGGACGGGATGCCAAATGCAGCCTCAGAACTTGTTGGCCGTACACAAAGTTCGAAGGCTTGCGACACAAAGCCAAAAAGCAGCTGATTCACGCTGGTCCCAGCTCGCTCCGCCTCCCCCAAGCCCTTGGGCCTCGCCGCAGCGCATCCTGCCGCGAGGGCGGCGGCGGCGGCTTCCGGCACTGGCGCGCCGCAAAAAGCGGCCGGGCCTCATTGGAAAAGATATGTCTCCTACCGGACGGTGTCCCGGGAAAATGGTTCGCTTCAAAATGGTTCTCTTCAAAGTTGGCTCCCTCCTGTCTCCCTTGTGCCATCCGGACTCCGACCGAATCCTGGCCGGTCCACCCGGCTTTGCCCAGACGGCCTCTCGCCGGAGCCGCGCCGCCAGGCCGCCCACGGGGCGGTACCTGCGCGAGTCGTCCGATTCCAAAGGACGAAGTTGAGGGAAGCAACGCTCGAAGACCAACACCTCTTTCATGGTGCAAGCGGGTTTTGAGTCGGAAGTAGGCCACCTCTAGGTTTTGTTTTGACTGGGCGTCGAACTCTGCAAGGTGTCAAAGGCAACAGTGTGGGGGAACCTGAAGCGTCTCTTGAGGCCTTGGATCGGGCCAAAACTCTGCGGGCTCCAAATCAACACACCGCACAGCCTCTGAATATTGTTTTTCTGTGAATACAATTACGACAGGAACAGCCTCCATGATCCCACTTGTAACCATTGCCATGGGGATGTTAGGGATTTGTGGGACTTCCACACATGCCATGGTTTTTGGGTGCCCAGTTTTGCCTTGCGCTTATGTACCCAAGCACACGGAATCTGACGCAGGTTCCTCTTCTTCGAGAACCCCCGAATGGTGGTTGTCCTGTTGGTTTCCCCCACCTAAACAAGGGTACCCACAAAAAAGAGACACGATGGAAATGGGTCTTTGGGAGCTGGGTTCAGGTTCCACGTAAGGCGGTACGGATAGATGCTCAGGCGCTTGTGGAGGTCGTGGTTGTGGTGCGACACAGCCCGGGCGATGGGGTTCCGCAGCAGCACCACCAAACGGGCCTTCAAGGCCAAAGAACCCGCAGGGTAGACATGTGCCTGACCAGCTTTCTAAAGTTGCCAAACCAAGGAGCCAAACCCAACTTGCTGTCATCTTAACATTGCAAGTGAGACCGGGCTCCGCGCCATACCCACAACGCTTGCCAAACTCAACCTGCAAGACAATGAGGAAAGGACCGCGTTGATGCGAATGATTCCGCATGAAAAGGTAACCGGCATGCCTCCCCTTCTGATTGAAGAAGGCGCTCGAGTGAATATCCCCGATAACACTGGAGAAGCACCGTTGACGTGAACATGGGTTGCGTGTGGTGCTCAAGTACTGCTGACCCTGTACTAAGCCTGGCAGAGAATAATATGGTGGTGTTCCACCAAAAAGTGAAGGACGCCTTTGCAAATGAATAGTTGTCCTGTTAATCAACCAGGGTTTGATTCATCATCCTAGGCTTCCATTGAACAAGTTGAAAACCCTGTTGTTGTTGGTTTACTTGCTTTATAGGGACTCCGTCTGGAGTCTAGCCAATCGCCACAAGGACTCCAACATACCAACAGTCGCTGTCATGTCTATTTCTGTTTGGGAGTCCCCTAGGTATCTTGAAATGATTTGAAACGGGGCGCCTTGTTCTTCAACACGTGGGTAGATGTTCAATTGGAAACCTTTTGGCGGACATCAGTCACATGTCCAAGAACCATAAAGGGTGTTCCCCTTCTACTTTGCCAATGACTTCCGCGGATAAAAGCTGTACAATTTCTTTGCAAAGAAAAGGGGGAGTCTCACATCTTGCAATCCATTCTCACCACTCTCATCTACGATTGCTGTTACATGGCATGGCACTTTCCGTTGCCAGTTTGGGCCATGACTTCAGAGATGCTGACCAGGGCCCTCGATACCGGCTGCCAGGCTCCTGTCATCACCTTGCTAGTATTTTCCCTGGTGGCTTAGGCGGGCAACTTGGGGACTCGGACCATTTCTTGATTTAATCGCTTGCCCAAGCCTGGCGACAAAAGCTGAACCTTTTGCAAAAAATGGGAACCTAACATGGGAGGGGAAGCTGCTCGATTCGCTCGAACCGCTCCACAATCCCCGGCGCCTGCGGCAAGAACTGACGCAGTCGCGGCAGGACCTGAGGCAAATACCTCGAGGCACCGGAGCGAAGGAAAACTGGGAGTTTGACGACGCAAAGGAATCCAAACCAAAATGCTAGAGGAACTGCCAGCTAAAGTGGGAAGTCAGTCGGGATTGCGCCAAAGTTCACATTACTTAGGTTCTTTCAAATGGACCTTTCGTTTTGGAGAAGAGGTGAGGAGAGAGGAGACCTTTTTTCAGGCACTCCGAGATGGACCCACCTGCACCGGTCCGGATCCGTAGGCTCCTTCGGACCGAACCCGTTGGCCGAAACAGCCTGACCTTCGCTCGAGCTCGATTGCCCGGGCGCATGTAACTCGGTGTTACATCGCCGATCATGGAGCAGTCGCTCTCAAACCAGGAGGCCTCGGCGACAGCGGAGCCACTTGGTTTACCTGCGAAAAGTGAAAAAATGCTGCGACTTGTTGCTTGTTGGGGACAAAACTCATCTTCCAAAAGGTCAAACGGTTAAGGGTCAAACCAAAGACCAAGCAAGTCACAAGTGGGGTAGTTGCAACCTGCGGACATCAAGCTGGGTCTCACATAGAGAACAAACAAAATCCGAACATGCCCGATTTCCCTATTTCCCCTTGGCTCGAGAGAGTTGCCTTTGCCAACTCGCGAGTCGCCGGGCGGCATAGTGGCTGGGACCCTGTGCCCACTCTTCCTCATCATCAAAGAAGTGAAGCTCCTACTCGCAAGACGCGCAAGGCTCCAAGGACGGCAACGCATGGGCTCGATTGGACTTGATCTAGAGGGTGAAAGTCATTGGGTCTCAGAATCAACGAATGCCAGGAACACTCATTCGTCCGGCGAGCGGGACGGATCAACCTCGGCCCGTTTCAGTTCTTTACCAAATAACCTCATGACTCATCTGGTCCTCCTGGGGCCGCAAACCGACCAGAGAAATGCTCGATCTGCATGTATTCGTAAAATTCCACCAACCTCAACTCAGGGATCCATACGCAATGACCTTCATCATGGTTCAGCTTGTTTTACCCTGGGGTGAGCTTGCCATCACCTACTGCAGATCAGTCCCTGCACTGGGATGAGCATTCCAGCTGTCAGCAGAATTACCCAAGGGCGATGGTCTCCCCACGTGGGAGGTAGGAGCTACACCCTCCTTGGGCTGCGCACCGCCGCAGGTTTGAAATGTACAAAGATTATATACAGCGACCAAGGCACTTTCCAACACATGGCAAGTGCAAGCTAACTTTTGAATTTCCGCCCGCCCGGTGTTGTTTGATGCGTCTGCAACACACACGCGTTTGCTATGATGCAAACGCAAGTAATCATGAATCAAATTTGTGCCAAACTCAAGTTACTTACAATGATCTCACGTTTCACCACCGAGCAAAGGCCAAAGTGATGTGTCCACCACTCGGAAGACAAGCCCGCAGCTCAAAAAGCCCCTTTGGCTGTTTCTGCGCAAAGCCGCGGCTTCCCGAAACTTGAAGGAGAAGAAGAAAGAACCAAGAACTTTGCCTTGTATTTGGGGAAACCCGCCTCTCGCAGCGCCGTCGCCTCCCAGCCGACGCTCACAGCTGCGGGCGCTCGAGCCGGAAGCGCCAAACGGCCTCCGGCACCGGGAAGCGCGCGCCTCGCACCAGGCTCGCGGCCATCTCCCCCACCGCAGGGCCGAACTTGAAGCCCTCGCCCGCGAAGCCGGACACCTCGGAAGGTCAAGTCCGTCTCGAAGTCCGGAAGGGCGATGTAACACCACATTACAAGCTGTCGGGTTGGCCTCTTGGAAATGGCTCTCACTAAAGATGCTAAGGGGTTCCTCTTTTCTTGGTATGGCAAACTTGCCCCAAAAAGGATTTGGAGCGCTCAGGACCACTGAGAAGACGAGCAAGCAGGCTACGCTGAGCAATTGGTCAGCGATCGGCGTCACTTCTCTCAAAGTGTTGCTATTGTGAAGAGTTTCAGCTTGAACAAGTGATCTGCCTGCTTCATGCCTGCTTTCGTCAGGTGGTGAGAAACTATGGCCGCAAGAGGTGTGCACCGGGGGCGAAATTAGGCATTGGGCTCATGATAATCGGTGTTGATTTGGGTGGGAAGCGCGAATTGGTGTTGAATTGGGGGGGGGGGGGTGGGCGGAGTGCATGCAGGAGGGCGATCGGGCACTGACACGGCATTGACAGGTTGCAGCCCACTAACCCATCTTTGCCAGGCGCCATGACCACATCCGGGTCCAAAGGATGTCTCCCCACCACAAAGTCCTCACGCGAAGGCCAAAGTGTATGGTACCCTTTGGGTATCCTGCCACTTTTAGAACCTATACATGGAACCCGAAACAGGCCGGCAAAACTGGATGACCCTCGAAAGGCAGGTTCTGCGCATGTGCTTCCGAATATGTATATATCTATATTATATATCTACATATACAAATATAGAGGACGCCTAAGTCCAGGCAGGTTTCCTTCTAGCCTGTGAATCCACATTTTTTGGCAAGCGCGCACAGCGTACGCAGGCCCAATTCAAGCCCCTCTCTCTCACAACTCCTAGAGGCTAAAACATGAGAGGCCGGTTGCTTTCCCACGGTTCCCCATATATGTCCCCTTGCCACCAAGAGGAAGACACTTAGTGTTGGCCAGAGAAAAGAAGCTCTGAAACCACCCACAAAAACAGGTGGGTCGCTTTGTTCACATGGTCTCTTCCATATTCAGCATCCCGCTCCTCGTCCGCAAAGAGGTGCTGGTCGTAGGGGCAGCGCATCGTCAGCTCCACCTCCTCCGTCAAACTCGGCAGGATCCTCCGCCGAAAGGCGTCCGTCTCCGCGCGCAGATGGGCGTCCTCATGCTCCGGCCACCTGAAACGACGCAAAAGCGAGCATCCGACTGGGCCAGTTTCGACAATGCCAAATAATAGATCACCAACCCAATACCTTTTGACCCAGAAATACAAAAGGCATTGGGTGGGTACCCGCCAGGAAGTGTTTCACGACTTCCATCACGCCGGCCCGTGTTTTCTCAGGTTTTCCGCGGGGTAAACACCAATGCCGGCACGTTCACCAACACATTCACGAGAACACCCAGTGGACTGAAAGGCTTCTCCAAGTGAACACCAATGCCGAATTGGTAGCGTGCAGAACCAGTGGACCTAAAAATGGTAGGGGTGCGGATTTATTTTGGGATTGTTGTTTGTTTTGGGATTTGTTTTCGCTTTTCGTCCGGGCCAGTAAAATGTCGTAGTTTACAGCATTTTCTCTCAAAATTGACGTATTTTACTCTAGCCCGTCAACATCCCCAGCATCGTTTTCAACATCCCCCGCATGTCCGACCAACATCCTAGCATCACCAACAAATTGTGGGTAACAGAAACTAAAATGTAGCTGGCGGGTTCACGGGTTCGCAAAAATGATCATTCAAATAGGAGGGCAGGGCACTCGCTGCAAAGCAAATTTAAAGCCCCCATGATGCTCGCAGAAGTGATGATTCGAATAGGGGTGCAATTAAATCTCTGCAAAAAGTCTAAAAAGCGGCGGGGGGGTTGGGGGGGGGCGGCAGCCCCCGCCCATGATGTTCGAACAAGTGATGATTCATCTAGGGGTGCAATTAAATCTCTGTAGAAAATCTGAAAAGTAGCGGGAGGGTTGAGGGGGGGGGGAGCCCCCCCCCTGATGTTCGAAGAAGCGATGATTCAAATAGGAGTGCAATGATTCAAGAAAGGGTGCGATAGAATATTAAAAGCAGCGGGAGGGTTGGGGGCGGGGGGTGGCTTCCCCTATGATTGCGAAGAAGTGCATACATACAAACAGTTACAAACATACATAGATTACATAGATTACATAGATTACATAGAATACAAAAAATGTCGTTGTTCACAGCATTGTCTCGTGAAATTGGATGCTCGGAAAAGTGATGAACCAAATAGGGGTGCAATTAAATCTCTACAAGAAATCTAAAAAGTAGCGGACGTTAGGGGGGAGGCGGCAGCCCAGCCCATGATGTTTGAAGAAGTGATGATTCAAAGGGGGGTGCTATCAAATCTTTGCAAACAACCCAAAAAGTGGTGGGGGGTTGGGAAGTGATGATTCAAATTGGGAGGGACTGGTGATGCTGAGGATGCGGGAAGCCAAAGCTCAAAACCAATGAGCGGAGAGAGGAACTGGGAAAGCAGAGGATGCGAAAAGCCAAAGCCACCAAAAGCCGCATAAACCAGCGAAAAGCTGCAAATCTGGTTTGAACTGGGAATGCAGATGATGCGAAAAGCCAAAGCCAGCCACCAACAAGAAGCCAACAAGCCAGAAGCCGAAAAGCCCAGAAGCCAACAAGCCAAGAAGCCAAGAAGCCAAAAAGCCAAGAAGCCGAAAGGCTAAGAAGCCAAGAAGCCAAAAGCACAAACAAATCCCAAAACAAACGGAAAAACAAAAATCCTAAAATAAGTACCCCTCCAAATGGTAGTGTTCACGTTCACGGGAACACCCAGTGGACTGCAACGATTCTCCAAAGGCCAAACACCCATGCCGAACGGGAGCCATGACTGCGGATGTGATGAAGCAGCTGTTTCGAAACATGCTTCAAGACTTGGTCCAAGGCTGTGCAAGATCAATGCTAACAGTTATCACAAAACACAAGGGGACACGCAGCTTACAAACTCTGCACGTCCAAAATGTGTGTTGCGGGTGGAGAACCACCCCATGCGTATCAAACGGATCCACATGGGTGACGTCGCAAAACCCCCCAGTGATGTCGCAAGACCTCCGGCACCTAAAGGATCCTGCGGTCACGTCCCCCTTTTCCGGAGAGCAAGAGGTAGAGAGCAAAGACAAACCGGGCAGAGTGTCCTTGGGAGACCAAAAAAAAGCGAAGCTTCATTTTTGTGAAGTACCTGCTTTTCTAGTGAAGTATGAACAAGTTTCAACAACAAAAAGGGTACCGTCAAGAAATGATGCACCATGGGTCTGACTCAAGATCGGGATTTCCTCCTCAGTTGCATGAGTCGCAAGCCAGAACTGCGCCGAAGTCAACCCAAAACCAATGTGAGGAATGAACAGGGTGGCTTTCTGCATGTTCGGCTGGGGCTTTTTATGCTCAAAACCTGTTTCTCGGCTTCGGAAGCTTGGAGCTCGGCTGTCCCAAGACACCTTTTCATGAGACACCTCCCCAAACGACCTAGAAGCACATGCCCCCAAATGACCGTGAAAGGGTCTTTCTTGGAGGGAACGCTTTTGGGAGAAACGAGCGCAAATTCTGGAAGGCCCTACAAGCCAGTTTCCCGAGCAAAAAAAGCACGTAGCACAAATTAATGTATCATTGGAGGTCACAGGAATCTTTGGCTTTCGCAAAACGGGATTTCTGCTCCGCCTCCTTCCGAAAGGTGTCCCGATGCGCCTGGTGCACCACACCTCTCCGCGCGCCCGCGTGGCCGCGCAGGAGAAGTGCTGGGAGACTTTCGCCGCGCTGCCCGGCACCAGAGGGAAGTCCTAGCGAGGATCAGATCGGCGGCTGGTTGCGGCTGGGTCAAAGGCCCCTCCCCGCGTCTTCTTGCCCTCTTCTTTTTGTTTCTCGCTCTCCTTTGAATAGGGGAAAAAACGAGAACAAGCTGGCTGGCGCCCTTTGAGTGACTTTTGGTGCCGTTGTTTCCATGCTTGATCATCTCCTTTTGACTGACAATCATTTTGGGCCAGGTGTAAAGGGAAACAAAAGGAAACCCAGCTTGTTAAGACACGAACATGTTCCCGAAAGGTGAAAGATCTATCCAAAAATATGCACCCACGCTTGAAAGCGGAAGTGCGAAGCTTCTGCCCTAGGGTTGGTCAACGTATCGCAAAAGGCTCCCTGTATGGTTGGTTCTTTGTTGATGCCCTTGAAACATCTTCAAAAAGGGGATTTCTTGATCTTACACACGGAAATAGCTGTCAATATCGAAATGAGATTTCTTCTGGCTTCCTCCGAAAATCTGATACGACCCCATCCAAAAGGGTCTCCACCTTAGGCAGAACACCAGGCACATGCAAAAGATCGATGTCCAAACTCGGGGCCTTTGGTCGCCTGAGTGTCGCAACAGCCTGACGCACAGATTTGAACACAAAACGCTGCAGCTTCGGACCGCTTCCACTGTCGTTGAAGCAGCTGCCTTGCAATGTGGAGACCCCTGGGTTTAAGTTCACTTTGGGGTTGTCCAGAAATGGAACGTCTTTAACGAGCGGGATGGCTAACCACCACCAGCTGATCTTCAACTCTCGCCTCGTGGTCCAGGAGAGGGCCCTGGCGATGCATGCCGAACTTCACCGCGGCCACCTGAAGGCGAGGCACATGGAATCAGCTCAAAGCACGCAAACCAGGGACCCAGTGACGCTCCAAGCAAAGGGAACACGAAAAACCTTGTGAAAGTATACGGTACACACGCAAATCATGGGAACCAGCATCAAACATCTGCACACTCGTGAATCAGTTCGGGAACTTGCAATGCAAAGTCCTTCTGCTCCCAACGTTCCAGTGCTTGCAAGCGAATAGGGTATGCCTCTAAGTACCCGGAAAGTACCAACCAACCCGAGGTCACACCAAAAGCACCAAGAAATACCGCTCGCTCGAGCAAATCGCCGCAAAACCCACGAGTTTCACCCTGCCGCTGGGCTGCACCATGGGGCAGGTGCGGGATCATGTAGCCCCCGCGGCGCTTCATCTGAGGCTCCGGTGATGCGATGTGCTCCACCACCACCGGCAGCTGGCGGTCGCTGTACAGCTGCTCCGAGCCTGAGACCCCAAAGTTGGTTCCGACAGCCGAACTTCGGAGGTGACCCAAACGGTCGGGCTATGGAGAAGCTCAGCCATCCATCTCTCAGCCATCTGTCCAAGACTTGCGAAGTTACACCCGAGTACAGAGTGCCATGTTTTTACCGATCTTGACTCCACCCACCCGAAGTGCCTTACTTCCCAGGTGAAATTGCAGGGATCAACTTGAAAGGTACACAAAACTTCTACCCCCATAAGAAAACAAAAACAAAAACCACTTCGCGCTCGCCAACCCCCCCAACCCGCGCGGAACCTCTCTCGCGCCTGTGGGAGTGTTGTAGTAGGTCTGCTGCTCCACAGAGGTGACCAGCGGCAGAAGCGGCAGGTCCATGGCCTGCAGCACCTTGTTGGTCCAAATCCCCGCCGCCACCACCACCTCCCGGAATTGGTTTTTTTCTTGGCCGGCGCTAGCTGCGACGATTTCGGGAAACCCTTTGGGTTTTTCTTGGCCGGTGCGATCTACGTCGCTTTTGGGAAACCGCACCGGAGGTGATCGACTCGGCCGATTCGCCAGGTGGTGAGTCTTTCTCAACAAGTAAGAAGGCGGCTGCTGTGCTGAAGCCGAGATGCAGATACTGTCAAAACTTGGGTCGGGGTCTCCCGCCTGGCCTTCCAATAGTCTTCATTATGCCCACCAACCCCAAATTGCCTAACCTATGACCATGTTGGTCTCTTTTGAAGGCTGTGATACCAAAGATTCCTATCAGGGTCTATACATTCCAGCCTTCGCAGCCATCTGCTGGTGGGACCCGAAAGAAATGTTGTCGTGTCCCTCACGCGAACCAAAGCAAACTCAACCCTCCCCAGTGGGCAAGTACTTGAAAATACGGCAAGATGGAAAAGGGAGATGACGACAGGCAAGGCCCAACCCACGGCGTTCTGGCTTGTGGTTGTGTGGCACCGTGCTGTTTGGCCGTTTGATTCTCCGGACATGAAGGCACCAATTGCATGTGAACAATCCGCCCAGCAGAACTCATCTGGCACGTCTGCAAAATAAAATGGGATGCCACTCTCTAAAGCAGATGTCCTATTGATGGTTCTTGTGAGACACCCAAAACAATTGGTAGAATGTTTGCAACTCCATGTTGTGCCGGGCTGCTTGCTCAATTCGGCACGCAATGATTCGAATCCGCATTTTCTGGTTCGGGCAGCTTGCTGTTCAAGTCGGCACCCGGTTTAGACCTGACATGTGGGAAGAGCGGTGTCTCGGTAGCGTCTCGCTTCCTAGGGCAGATGGTTCTACGGAGATTGTTCCCCACCGCTTTCCCGGAGCCCTCATGCAAGCCCTCATCCGGTTCCATAAGTGGGGCAGCTCTCTGGTTCCGGTTTCCAGTGCGCACAGATTGACCCAAGCTATTCCCCGCCACAACAAAAAGGCTCCGGAAAAGTCGCTTGACAGGCCACTGTTTTTAGACAGATACCTAATCTTGCAACCATCAATTGAAGAACAGCTTTCCGCATGAAGTTGGCTTCCCTCCGTCAACTCATTTGGCACTTTGCTCTTAAGACTTCGCCTGTTGCTCTACCTGGAGGCAAGCCGGGAGAAACCAGAGCACAGGACAATTTTACCATCATTCAGCCCGAAATCAATCCCCCCAAGGCGCCTTCATGAGCGAGCTCCGCTTCGAATCGGCGAGCGCACACAAAACCCCCTGTCCCCTGTCCTAACAGGGATCCGGATGCATTATACACCTGAACATTGCAACTTGTCAATGGTGGTTTCCCCTTGTTTTGTTGGAAAAAGCCAGGTTTCAAATGGTTGCAAAATGTATCCAAGGAGCCCTGCTTACCGTCTGTCCCGGCGCCTTGGAGTAGGCCTGGGTCTTCCCATCTGCCGTGGTGACCATCTTCCTGTCCCGGTCAATGCGCACCACCGGCTCCTCCACATAGTGCGCGCTCTTCTGGACCTGCTCCTGGAAGTGCGGAAGGCGGTGGGTGGTTCCTGGTTTGCTGGTTAGGACCTTTTTTGCCTACTCCGGATTCCAAATCAGAATAAACATGAACTTCGTCGAACCCTCTACCAAAGTGGCAGTTGCAAGGCTTGTACGAGTTATTAGTCAGTTTGGGTACTGGCGCTGTTGATAGTATAAAGAAGAAGAAAAAATCAAGCCCCGTGCCCGACTCTTGATTCGATCGGCAGGCTTCCAATCTTGAGGGAGCCACCACTCTGAGAATACGAGGCTAGCTTGGGAATGGGGATCATGCGAATCCTGACACTTCAGATCCATGGCAAGGGGGCGCGCAAAAAGGCGCGCATCAGTGATCTCCATCAAGGATCATTGACGGGCCCTTACAAAACGGACCTGAGTTGCAATCAAAACCTGATACTATCGGAGTCCACCCCAAAACCCACGGCAACTTGCCGCGCCTGCATGGGGATTGGCCCTACATCTCACCCACCCGCACTTGCTGATTGCTCGCCTTTTTCTCATCCCCAAACCAACTGGGGTCGTCCGCACTCCAAACCACCGAGAAGAAAGAAGAAATCCCCAAAACCTACTGGGAATCCTCCCTCGAAATGTCTGCGGGACCTTCCTTCAGCGCCTCCAGCACCACGCTGGCGCACACGGCATCCCCCCGCTCGCAGTACACCGAGGCCTGAGAAAAAGGTCGCCCCCTTTGTGTCCCAGCCAATGGTTGAGGCCCGAAATTTGGGCAAACTCTAGCCAAACTTCTATTTTCCAAAGGATCTTAACGGCCAAAAAATGTCCAAAAAATGTCCTTAAGCCCGTAGCCTTCGACGCCTTCAAAACGAGTCTCAAAAGGATGGGGCGGCCGCCATTTTGACCCATGCAGTTCCTCCGAAAGCGCCATACCCACTGATACTCATCCAAGCGTGAAATGAAACAACCCCTCTTGCTGTGCGGGGTTTAGAGTTGAAAGCTGAACCCAAACAGAGCGGAGAAAGTGTCAGCCCCGTAAGCAAATGCGCTGACCTTGCTCAACATTCAAACGTGATCAAAACGGATCGATCAGCACCCCGGTCATCATGCTGACCCAGAGAACAATCAAACTGACAAATGTTCACCCCTCCCCTCCCCCTGGAAAAGAATAAAAAGGGGAAAAAAAACAAAAACATGTGCAGGATGCCCTTTGAAGTGGGACAAACGCTTGTCTCTGGTTGACATTTGACTTCCCTTTTCACAAACCCCCGAAACGTTACCAGCTTCAAAACAAACAAACCCAATTGGGTATGGCTTTGGGTTTCCCTATTCTGATAAACACTTCTCTCAAATGACACCGGGCATGATGCTTCCGAACATTGACGTTCCTTATTCGCGCCTCGACATAGTCCTTGGAGAGCTGCAGCATTGGCCAGCGCTTTTGAACCTTCGAAGGCCAATGTCAAACTCTTCGCAGTGGGGTGACAAGGGCATGGCGTGTGTGTGGGTCGGGCGGGTGTGGGGCTGGCTGGTGGGTCGCTGGATGTCTAAATCCTACAGTACTGGCTCGGAATTCAGGTCTGGAGGTCGTTTGGGATGCAGCTCGCAAACAAGCCAACTGCCTAAAAAGAATTGTCCCTTGAGAACCCCCCCCCCCCCGACCTTTACCCGTAGGGTACCCGTCTGGGTGCCAATGTCTCCTGAAAACCACCTCATCTGGATTGATTTAGGTGGCAGTTCCTGATACATTGATTCATTGATTGATTGATTCATTGATTCACTGATTGATTGGTTGGTTGATTGATTGATTGATCGATTGATCGATTGATTGATTCATTGATTCATTGATTCATTGATTCATTGGTTGATTGGTTGATTGGTTGATTGGTTGATTGGTTGATTGGTTGATTGGCTGGTTGGTTGATTGATTGATTGATTGATTGATTGATTGCTTGCTTGCTTGCTTGCTTGCTTGCTTGCTTGCTTGATTGATTGATTGATTGATTGATTGATTGATTGATTGTTTGTTTGTTTGTTTGCTTGTTTGTTTGTTTGTTTGATTGTTTGATTGATTGATTGATTGATTGATTGATTGATTGATTGATTGATTGATTGATTGATTGATTGATTGATTGATTGATTGATTGATTGATTGATTGATTGATTGATTGATTGATTGATTGATTGATTGATTGATTGATTGATTGATTGATTGATTGATTGATTGCTGGTGCAGGGGTTGCCAAGGTTGCCTCCAGTAGTCCAGAACGGCCATTCTCCCACAACTTGCAACAGGCTCCGGCCCTTTGAAGACGAGGCCCATTTTCTCTCTGATTGCTGTGATAACCATCTCGGGACCTGTAGCTGCAATGCGGATCCATGTCGTCTCACGCGACAAGAGCGTTAAGCTGCCTAACCGGATGTCCCCAACCGCACGACGCGTACACGAACGCCCTTATTCAACTTAACTCCAAAATCAGCAGTACGTCCCTTGAACCCACCTGAAAGTCACTACACTTTGATTCTCTACAAAACCCTTTTCACTTTGTGCCACTCCCAAGCGAGTCCCCGAACAGACCGCGCGCGGCCTCGGCGTGGTTCAGGCGCTCGTACTTTTGGCCCAGCTTCTGGTAGGTGTTGGCCAAGTCGTCCAGGCTGCCGCGCTGGAAGCCCACGTCTAGGCAGCCCGTCTTGCACCTGAGATCTCGACCTCAAACCAAACCTTCAAAAGCGCCCTCGACTTGGTCAACATTCAAACCTAAACCTAGGATTTATATCTTTTCTTTGCTCATCATTTAGTCAAGGACAAAGATGTAAGATGGTCCAAAACGTTGACCCAGTTGAACTGGAGTCGCTTCAGAACTGAAGACATCTAGGTCTCGCGCCAACAGTTGCTCAGAGAGACGGAACGAACCTAGCACGACATGAGGAACTCGAGGAGTTGAGCCGCAGCAAAACCCGATCTTGATGCTGCCTGCTTGCAAATGTCGAAAGACTTATGTGCATAGCGAAAGAGAGAGCGAGAGAGAACCTTTCATGTCTCATGCGGGTATGGGTCAAAGCCAGGAATCGTCCAGCTATATCTAGGTTTCCCCTTCAAACGGACAAAAGGGGGTCCGTTCACAGGCTCCGCTGTCTCACTGTGCAGCCCACAGATTGGCTGGGGAGAAAACAAACATGTCCACAGGTGGAGCCAAACCCCACTTGCCCAGTGACCGTAAAAGGAAGAAGCCCGCTTGGTTGGCTTCCCAAACAAACGTGTTTGAAGAGCAGGAGGGCTGATTACTCCTAAATCCTGGTGTTCTTTTCGGTTTCCAAGAAGAAAAACGCCGAAAAACGAGTCCCGGGCCTCAAACGGCTAAAACGACCCAGCCACAGGTCGCGAGAAAGGCACATCAGTGGCTCCGCGTGCTGCTTCCCAAGCTCCGCGTAGAGCTCATAGGAACGCCGCGCCAACTTCAACAGCACCTCGTCCTGGGGCCAAGCTCGTCCTCCCCAAAGTGGACCAAGAAATAAGAGCGACCAAAAGGATCTCAGGATTTTGGGGCAGACAATGGACCAGAAACTGAAACGAAATTTATTTTTGTTTTATTGCTGACCCCGGATTAGGAAGTCCCCTGCTTGATTCTCATTGGGGGGTGTCATTCTCATTGGGGTGTGTGGGAATTCAGACCACTTTTGGAGGAACCCCCCCCCCCCCATATTGCTAGAACCGGCTTTCTTAATCCGGGGTCGGTCAACATTATGAACAAAACGTTTGGCCTTTGTTGCTTCAACCATTTGAATATGAGCAAAGAAGCTAGGTATGAACAAAATCAGTCCCCATAGTACCTCCAATTAGGACCCTTTCCTGGACCCATCGGGATTGGTGTTCGCAGACCTCGGAAACTATTCCCAATTCAAATCCGCGGCCGAATGGCTGTGTGCTTGAGGCTATCTTTCCACGTTCTTTGTTTAGCATTTCTCGGCTGAAAACGATATCTTTGTTTGGGAGATTGCCAAACAGAGGGAAGTTACCCAATGAAGGGAAGCGTGCCTTGCTACTAGTAGCACCAAAGAAAGCACAGGGAGTGTGCTTCTGACACACTACATGCCATGCCAAATGCTCAAGCAAGCATGCCATTCAGGAGATTCAGCAAGCAAGCTCTTGATGTTCTGGCTCTCTCTCTCTCGACTCAAATCACTATAGGAGGCCCTAACGAGTGGTCATCCCGAAGTCGGTCATCACAAACCCCATGCGAGCCATGCAGCTTAGCCAGTCCTTGTAGCTCACCCGCGCAATGCGCGACTCTCCCCAGCTGCCCTTCTCTGAATGGCCACCGTCAAAGAGTACCACCTGCGTTGCGGACCCGATTGTGGTCAGAAGAGCAAAAGGACACAATAGCAATGTTCTACACCTTGGTGTGTGAGGTTCTGAGCAACCCTGTGCAACTGCAGATTCCAATGTCCAAGAAACGGCAACTCAACTGCTTTGCTTGACTTTCGAGAAAGAAGAGCATCTCATTGACTCATGCCGAACACTCCTGTCCAAAACGTGAGCCCTGCAACTACCCCAAGTTACCCCGGCCACTCCCGACACCCGACTCCCGACTCGCCTTCATGCCACTCCGCGCCAGGCTCCAGGCAGTGGAAAGCCCCATGACGCCGCCCCCCACCACCACCACCGGCGCATCGCTCTCACAGCGCAGCCGGGGGCCATTGGCCTTCGAGCGCCTCCGCAAAAGGCATCGCCGGCGAAGAAAAAAAAACATCCGCTCGCAAAACCTCTCCATGCCCACCCCGCCTGAGCTGCCAAGCACTCAGGGTCCCGACGGCCAACGTCCGCAGCGCCAACGCCATGCTCCCAATCGGCCGAAAGAAACTTGTGATATCCGCATGCAGCTCGTGTCTAGCGGCACGAGCAAACCATCTGCCTGTTTTTTGGTGATGGACGGGGGCGTGTCGAAAGCCGACTCTTTTCAAAAGTACTGGATTCTGGCCCTCTCATGGAAACGTCTTAGGGTGCAGCTGTGCAGCACTGTCCAATCGCTTTTGTCGGAATCTTTTAGTGACAGCAGTGGGCAGCAGCTTTTGTCACGATGCATTCAAGTGTAAAGACAATGCCCAAAAGCCCAGGCAAGTTCGGTTTCCGTCGTTTCCCTTCAAAAACCAAAGAATGTCCAAAGGCCCACAAAAAATACAAGGATACCCCTGGGCAATATTTGCCTGAGATCCAACGCATGCTTTGTACTGAGTGCCCTTCAGGAAGCCTGCCAGAGGGCCTGTTCCCACATTGCGATATTGGCAACATGTTTTTGTTTTGGCTACTGAGAGACAAACGATTCCTGAAGCCTGGCATTAAGAATCACAAGGGCCTGAACCATGTTCATTCCTCTTCCAAACAAAAGATAAACGCGCGCTGTGCGCAAATAAAAGGCTCGACTGTTCTTACTTGCAGCCAAATGTAGTGAGGCCCACATTCATCTGTCAGTTCTGCTTGTCTGAGAGGTTGGTCCATGGCCAGCTTCTATGGCTGCTTGTCCAATGCTGACAGGGGTGGCTTCTTTGCAACACGCCTCATTGCCAAGGGAAGACTGGTCCTCAAGCGGAGATCGCATCTTTTTTGAGGACCATCCCTCTCACAAAGCACCGCATGCCGAAGCGCCGCCCACCGAAGCCAGGCCCAAAAAGGAAAGACGGCCCTTGTCTCGGTGTATTCTCTTTCAAGATTCCCTATCTTTCTTCCTAAAACATCTCTACAAAAATCACCAAAGGGACGAGAAAAAAAGAAGAGGGAAAAAAATACAGCCCTCGCAGAAGCTCGTGGAGCCCTCGCAGAAGCTCGTGGAACCCTCGTAGAACCCTGGTGGAACCTTGCTGGAACCCTGCTGGAACCCTCGTGGAACCTTACCTCAAGGCCGCCCCGGACCCCGGAGCCTATCTGGGCTGAGACCCCAAAGCTTTCATCTGTTGAGGAAAAACATCACCGGCAACAAGGGCCTTTTACAAGAACAAAACAAAACTCCGGCTTTGCTTTCCCTATCCAGGTTCCCACTCAGACCTGCGTGGGCAGCGACAGGTGCGGCAGCGCAGCCTGCAGCTGCGCCCGCAGCGAGCAAGTCCCGCCTCCGCGGATTCACCGGGAGAAACTAAGCGAGGATGAAAATGCACGTGATTTTTAGGGAAACCAAGAAAAAAAACGTTTGTTGTTTCGGGTCCTTCCCCGTGTTTAGCATTTTATAGGAGTCACGAGCAAAATTGCGATGGTTTTCTGAAGAGGAAACAAAGTTTGATAGAAATACAGGGGAACATCAATGTCAGAATCGGGAGGACTGCTCTGGGTGGATTCCCTTATTCAGAATCCGAACTCTGTGACGATTCCAAAAGGCCACGAAAGGCCTGTTACGCCGCCAACATATCAGTACAGTCCCTTCACCACAGCAAAGACTTGACTGGCAAGCATCCTCTGAACAAAATTCCGGATATCCACCTGTTTTGATTCTTTACATGTTGAGTGGCCATTTTAATGCCAACAGCTTGTCAGAAATAGGAATCGACGCCTTCAAAGTGAAGCGATCCCATATAGAGACAGACTGCTAAAGCAGCACTCAGTTCTGTAACAGTCGGTAGATCTGTAAAAACTTGGTACTGACCTCTTGGTTCCACTGCAAGTGCCAGACGTAAATAGCAGTTTCAGTGGAACAAAACATGTGATAAGCCCTTGAAGCTTATTACCAGGGACCGTGTATGTTGGGGCACCCGAATTCAATTGAACACAATAATGCAAATTGAAATTTGCTCTTCAACTTGCAGGGAAAGTCAAGGGCCATGAGTTGCTGCTGTCCGCGCCGAACGCCCTTCCCATCCTCATAACTTCTTGGTTTATCAAAGCAACTGGATGTGTTGTCAATGTGACTCTGTCAATCGAGGCCCCAAAAGTCTCACGGATGCTTCCCTCTGTCACTCAGTCCCGCTTGGCTCACCTTTCATGGCGCCAGGCACCACCACGGCCCGGCGCGCGGCGAGCCACTCCATGGGAAGACGGACAAACGAAACCCGTGGCGCCACCCCGCCCGTTCGATTGCAACCGTCCTGAACCCTCCCGAAATCGTGCGAAGGAAAGATCCAATTGTGGGGATCCGGAATTGGGGAGGACACACTCAACATTGGTAGTGAATCGTTCCTAATTTCCCCCCATTGGTTTTTGGAAAACAAAGGTCAGCAACCATGAGTTAAAGAGGAAGTGGCTTCCACAAAAGTGGGCAGGCAAAACGGACATTTGCCGAAGAAGAACCAAATATTTACACGCCGGAGGCCATGAGGCCTGGACTATCCCACGACATATCCATTCTGAGCCATCCGATATAGAAACAGAATGAGACTGCCATGATCTGACCGCGACCCCTGCAGCTTGAGCCGCAACAGCGGGCTGGAACCCTCCTTCAACAGGGCCGGTTTGACCATGCACTGCCAATGTCCCGCGAGGGTCCCTGCAGGGCAGACTCGTCAAGAAACGTGCCGCAAAAAAAAAAAAAAACAGCAAACAAAAAATGCCCCAACACTCTTCCGACTTTGGTTCCGCCGAGCTTGCTTTTGCTTCTTGTAGGTTGCTTTTGATACCTGCCCACCTCAAATCCAAAGGCATTTTCCAGGTGTCACCCGAATACCACTGGGAAAACTCGCCTTGTCATGCAATTGGCATCCAGGTCTCATGGCCGGAGATTGGATGGGACAAGCCCGGAGGTGGGTTCCGGTTCGGGACATCCGGGGGCCAGGCTGGGCGACACCGGGCACGCCGGGCGGTGCAGCTCGAGAGCTTGAACCTGGCCAATGCTGGGTCACATTTGGAACCCAAAGTGGCTTGCCCTGGCAAAGAAGACCAGTCTGGGAATTAAGAGAAGAAAAAACATGGGTGGCTTGTCTTTGGGAGTACCTCGCAACATGGGCACCCAAGCTGAACATAAGAATGATGGATGGGTGGCTCGTCTTTGTGGGGGAGTCGGAGCCAAAACAGTTTGGTGAGTTATGGGAACTTATGTCCACCAACCACTGGGCTGGAGGTATGCTATATTTAGGGGATTCCTAGTTCCAAGTGTCCCACCCAAAACATTTTGAAAAAAATGCACGGCAAGAATGCGCCTGTGTCTCTGCTGGCACGGCCCGCCAGGGTGAAAGGGCTTCAGCCACCTGGACAAAGTCTCATTCGTGAGCAAGGAGAGACTTTTAAGTTTGAGCCTTGGCTCCCAGATTTGGGGAGTACATGTCTGCCATGGAATTCGCCCATCTGCCTCGTGCCTGAGGCGCCGTCAGCGAGCACAGCGCTGCCCAGTAGAAGATGACCGCGAACTCCAGTTGTCCGTCCTGAGAATCCACTTTTCGGCCAAAGGCCTCCACTTCCCTTTCCGTCCCCGTCCGTGGGGCTGGCTCTTGGACCCTTCTTAGCCCTCGGCCTGGCGCGGGCCTACCTCGGTGCCTCACAGAAGGTGCTTTCCTCACGGTAGAATGCTAGGTACGGAACATCAATAGGGGCTTGAGTTGGTTCTGCCTTGGTTTCAGGTTGGTTCAGGTTGGTTGAGGCTGGAACTGTCTGGTGATCAAGCGTTGGGTTCCTTTCACAGTTACCCTGAAATTTGCTTCAAACAGAGGATATCTCACTGAATCGGAGTGGGATTTAGTGTGACTTTTGCGGGCTTCAAGTCAGTTGAGGGCGCTTCTTTTCTTTTTTTTCTCGCTGGGTTTGTGGCTGGTTTTGCCATTCTGCG